ATTGGTACGGTGCTTCTAGCTCAGCGGTTCAGCAGAAGGACAACACACTCCCCTTTCATCTCTAGGTTCAGAGCACATACCCTGTCTGATGGAGGATGCCTGTCTGACGGAGGATGCCCTGCATGATGAAAGGATGTCCTGTCCATCCCTGCCCTAGCTAAGCACCTACTTGTGCCAGGCTGAGACCACACCCCCCAAGTCACTTGGCAGAGAAGGAGGCACTCTTAAATAGGGAATAGTGCTACAGGGTGACGACGCTGCTACAAAGGTCTAACCAGGACAAACGTGGGAAACAGGGAAGAAGTGTTGGAGCCTGGTCAGCAGGGATTTCATATGCCAGGTTTAGGGGCTCTGGTTTTATCCAGTATACCTTAGGGAGCTGTTAAAAGAATTTTTGTAAATAGAGAAAAGCCAGTCAGGGTGTTTCAGAATTAGTCAGGATAAAGACGACAATGTTGAAGAACTTAGGACAGAGGTGGTGGCAGTGATCCTGAGTGTTAGGATACATGAGGCCATCCATGGGGAACATCTGGGAGAGAATTCATTTAGCTGATAGGGGTGGGGAGCAGGAGAAGGAGAGAGCTTGAGTGACACCAGGGTGTCAGCTCTGGGTGACTAGGGCCAATGGTCGGGTACGCACAGACATGGAAAAACAAGTTTCAGTTGAGGAGATATAGAAATGAAGTGCCCATTGGATGTGCAGAAGGCACTTGGACATAAGAGGTAAGGTTCAGGCAAAAGACCTAGGAAAGATGAAGGGTGGGATTCACCTACCCAGAACTGGGGCCCTCCACAAGTGTGCCATGGGCCAGAGATCTGGGAAGCCAGATGTAAAAAAATGCCAAGGAGAGGTCAGAAGGAGAAATCAATTAACAGAAAAGAGCCAAAAGCTGACATTATGGATGCTAAAGAGGGAACAGAGCATCAACACAAAGCAAGAGAGGACCAGAGCAAATCACCGACAAACTTGCTGAAGCTGGCTGGGCAGGGCTGGGTGATTGATCAAGAGCAACACTAGTATGGAATGGGGTAGAGGAGCTAGGGCTGGGGTCCTGACTGCTGCAATCTGAAGCTTGACCAGGGGACCAGAATATGGAATAGAATGGAGATGACTTTTTCAAGGAGTCTAAACACAGAGTAGGGAAGGCGAGAGAGGGGGATACAAGGGATGAAATGTCATTTAATGAAAGACTTAGCAGTGCTTGAGGGCTGAGAGAATGAGTCCTGGAAAAAGCAAACACTCAAGTCACAGGATGACGAGGAGACAGCAGACAGATGACACTGTCTCTCCTAAGACACTGCCCCACTTTGGAGCCTGAGGGCCATACCACAGCCCATTCCCTAGGAGAGCGCTCATGCCTTCCTGAGACCTGAGTCCAAGGGGTGGTAGGCAAGGCTTGAGGGAGGACCAGGAAAGGGGGCAAAGGGGCACCAGCACCAAGCCAGAGGCCAGGCTCCTCGCCTTGGCTGGCAGAGCTCTAGCTGATGGCAGGGGGCTGGCCAGTTTTGATAGAGGAGATAGGAGAGTTCGGTTCCAGGCCTGATTCTATTGAACTAGGTCTTTCTGAGGCTGGGTTTTCCCTGCCCCCAAGGGTACAAGTACTCACCACCTGTGGGGTCTGCCTTGATGGGCTCAAAGGAGGTAGAAGGGTTGGGTCCAGATGAACTGCTGTTGCTGCTGCTGCTGCTGCTGTCCAACAGGGCAGAGGACTGCAGTGGCCGGGTGTCCAGAGCTGCCAGGCCCAGCGGGAGGGAGCTGAGTTCACCACTGTCCTTGCTCTCGGTTCCATGGCCTCCACTCACTGCAACCACATCCCCCAAACCTGGTCACTCAGGGAAAGGAAGCAGGATATTGAAGCTGGCCATGGTAGAATCCACAGCCAGGATGACTACGGCCCTGGTTCCTCGGCCCAAGGAGACTTAGGCATGCTCACCACTCTCAGAAAGGTAATGTGAAAATTAGTCACTGAAGGAGATGGGGCATGAAGCCCAAAAGAGGGAGACTCGCGGATATGACTGCTGCAACCACACGTCAAGAGGGGTGCCAGGGCAAGTGAGACACAGGCAGACCTGGTAGAAAACTGCCACCACTAATGCCCCTTCACAAAGTCAGAATGTCCCTGTTAAAAAGGGCTCATTGGGTGCACCAGCAGAGAGAGGCCAGTGGGGTGGGGGTGGGTGGGTAAGATAACCCCTACAGGGTCTCTCCAACTCTGAGTATTTCATCTCGTTACACAGAAATATTGCTTCTTGGGTCCCTGAAGTCCCTCATTACCACATACCCCTTGTGCCTCACCTGGGATCTCAGCTGCTGGACCAGCCACCCCCTGGGCCTCGGTGCTACTGGGGACAGGGTTGGGGGTGGTCGCCTGGGGACTACTCGGGCGTGAGGCATCCTGGGGCTGGGCCAGGGCAGGCTTGGGCAGAAGCGGAGGGGTAGAGACAGCAGGCGGGCTCTGGAGCAGGTCTTCGGGTGGTGGCACAGGCACCGCCACGGGCGGGGAGCTCCATGCCTCCTTGTTCACCAGAAGCACCTCAATGGGGCCGCTTACGCTCTTCAGGTGAATCTGGTACTTCTTCTGCCCATTGAGGCCCTGGAGGTAGGGGTGGAGGACAGGTGGAATTGGAAGCAGGTTTGGCTCCTGCCTGACCCTGGGCCAGGGCCAGTGTCCTCTCCCACCCTGGGCTGCCCATTCTCCTAGATAACTTCAAACCCTAGGCCTCCCCTTACCTGCCCCACCCGGGACTTATCGGGCTCCACAGCCAGCACCCGCCCTCAATCCACCCCACCCGGCTGAGCTGAGCACCCACCTCTGGGATGGGCACCTCCAGGCTGGTGCCCGACGGGGCCCGGATGGCAAGGAGGGTATCTCCTAGGATGACAAAGAGGATGGATCAAGGCCCATGGGCTCAATTTGAACTGGGAATGGGGTGCCTATCCCTCAGAGCAAGGAAGGAGGTCATAGTCCCAGAGGGGCCAGACAGTAGGCTTCACTCACTCCCTATCGAGGCTGGGGGAGAGAACTAAAGCTTTTCTCCTCCTAAGAACCCAGAGGTCAGTAACCAGAAAATCTGGGTTCAGACACGTGGAGCAAAAGATTAGTGGCCATGGGCACCTCACTTGATTGATGGGGCTGCTCCCTAGGCAAAGATATTCTGGCTAAGGCCAACAGCTCTTCCCGAGAACCAGCCTGGGAAATGCAAGATGGACAAGGAAGAGTTCCTGTACCTACAGTGCAACTAAACTACAGGTTGGAAGTGGGCACCACTGCCCATGCACACAAGCATACACGAACAGGCACACACACTTTCTCTCTGCGTATGCTTCTGTCACACCTGAGAAGCCAAACCTAGGGGGCAATGCAGGTGGGGGCTGACCGAGGGACCCAGTCCAGGCTTCCTGTACCCTCAGCATGGTTAGCCTCCACAGGGTCCCAGAGACCCTCAAATCCAGGACTTACCCTGTCTGGTTCTTCTTTGAGTAGGACCCAGGAACCCTCTTAAGAGATGGAAATCTCTCAAACACCAAGTCCACTGCTCAGGGCTGTGGCTCAGCCCAGTCCCACCCCCATCTCCCCCTACCCAGGCTCTGCTCACCAGCAAAGCATCTGCAGATGTCCTCATGAGTCACGTAGGCCAAGGTGTGGGGGTTAAGGAGAACGGCTGATGCCCTGCCTATGGTGACAGATGACTGACCATAACGAAGACCCAGCTTTGCAGCAAAGGTCTGATATACATGCTCACAAAGAAAAGCCCTGAGGCCTGGGGTCTACATGGGGGAGGGATCACAGACCAAGACTGTGCGGGGAGAGGCTCTGAGGAGGGAACCCGAGGCTGAAACCTGGCCAGGAGCCGGACGACCATCCTCCCAAGCGGGACAAGGACTAGGGGGCCACAGAGCAAACCCAGCTGGACTAGAGGGCCCATCGCCCACTCCCCAGGAGCCAGGACCGCCGACAGGAGGATATCAGCTGTTCTGCACGTCCTCTGTGACGTTCCGGATGCTCTGCTGCACCCACACCTTGTGCTGGTCTAGTTCTTGCTCCCGCTGCTGCAGCTCCTCGATCTCTGCCTTGAGCTCAATTAGCTTGTCTGCAATCTCCCGGGTGTTGCAGCCAGGCCCCACACCCCTAAGTCCAGGAAGGAGAGCTGAGAGGGGCTGCCTGGCACTCTGGGTCCCACAGCCCCTGTCCTCTCTGCCACCCTCCACCCCTGACACTTCTGGGCAGTAGATCCCATTGCCCTCCCCGGTGCCCCCACTCACTTCCACTGGATGCTATTCTTGGATTTTTTCTCGATCAGCCCGATACCTTCCAGCACGTTAGTAATGTCATATATCCGCCGCTTCTGGCGCACAGCTAGGGTGTCAGCTGCCTGGCAGAGAAAAGAGAATGGAGAATGCTCAGTCCCACTCTTGGGGGGAACTCGGTCTGGAGCAGTCTGAAAAGGGGGTGGCCTGAATTCGAGCCCTCCTCCCCAGACACTACAGCAGCTCAGGACTGTGGGGTGGGAAGAGGCCTGACGAAGCCTGAGCTGATGTTCCGATTCTCTTCTCCCTACACCTGCTGGGGAGGACCACGAGGACTAGCACCCGCAGCCCCAAGCCTGGCACAAAGCTGACATCCGATGAACAGCCTCAGCCGAATGAATGAAACAGCTCCCGGCCTCCCGCTTGTGAGAAGCACATGTATGGCGGCCTGCTCTGAGGGCTCAGCTGGGCCGCCCCGGGGGTTCCCTCTACCGGCTCAGGCCTGATCCACCATACCCCCTGTCGCCCCTTAGCCCGGGCCGCACCAGCTTGAGGTCAAGCACGCCGTCCTTGGCTTCCTGCAGAAGCGACACGAACTTGGTAGTGAGAAGTCCCAAGCTTTTCTCGTGCCGGCTTGGGGTGCCTGGGGGCGGCGGCGCCTGTGGCCCAGCCTCCGCCATCGCGCCCGCCCGCCGCCTCCCCTCAGCCAGGCCAGGCCAGGCCGGCGCCGCCGCCACTTCCGCTTCCGCTCCTGGCCTCCCGGCCGCCGGCGCCAGCCTCGCTACTTCCGCTTCCGCTTCGTTCCCTTCCAGGGAGTCCATCACAATTCCTCTCAGCGGACATGGCCGAAAAACTTCAGGGACCATCGACAAATGTCCAACCGCCGAAGAGGACGAAAATAACCCCAGGATCCCGGAAGACAGGTGTGGTCGAGGAAGCATGTGGCGGAAGTCGTTGGGTAGCCCCAGGAATAGTAAGGAGGAATCACTGGAAACTTCCTGGCTGGCAAACCTGCCCCAACTCCACTAACTGTGCCCCAACCCTCATCTCAGGAGAGGAGACCCTGCTGCCTGATGAACCCAATGTGTTTTCCCAAACCTGCTCCTAAAAGACTGCCCCACTGTCTTGGGATCACCTACCCTATCCTGTCCTTCACTTCCTGCCAAACAGCAAGCACTAACTACATCTAGCTTATCCACCTGTCTGCATCCCCACTCTCTTCCCCTGATCCCAGCCTCACCTTTCTCTGTCTCCACACTACAGTGCTCAGAGGCCATGGGATTAAAACCACTTTTCAACCAATGTAAACATATTTACCTATGTGTCAATATTTATAAAGCCCTTAGTTTCTGGCATGTGGAAGGATTATGTGTTTGCTAGTATCATTTTGTTATTTTTAACACTGTCATTTATTGTGGTTTATTTTAGGTCAAGTTCTTTGGAAAACAGTCTTTGAGAAAGAGATGTGCCGGCAGGAAGTTTACTGAGAAGCCACACTTGTAAGGAAGTAAGTCAGGCCAAACAGGGCAGAGAGGAGAATTAAACTGAGAAGGTTAAAATGGAGGCCTCTGTCCTCCTAGGAGCACTGAAAGTGGGGTACCCCTTCCAAGGCCTATCTGGCCTTTATATCCTAACACTGACCAAGAGACTCAGATCTGAGACCTCATTGGCCTACATTTCAGGCAGCTAGGGGAATGAGTGTCTTTGTCTTGAAAGGTGGATTTGGATGGTAGCCAGTGTCCACTGCATTATTACTACCTACTAGTCAGTTCCATTGGAGGAGGGCATGGCAACCCGCTCCAGTATTCTTGCCTAGAGAATCCCACGGACAGAGGAGCCTGGTGGGCTACAGTCCATAGAGTCGCACAGAGACACGACTGAAGCAGCTAAGCAGGAGCAGCATCCCCTTCCATGGCTCCTTTTATCTCCAACACAAACAAGCTTTCATAGCCCTTCCATCCCTCTCTGCCATCTCCTGCCACACACTCTCTTCACAATAGCCTATGGTCTCTTGCTCCTCTGCAGAGGCACACCTGCCTCTAAGGGCCTGTCAACACAGTTTTCACACTGTGATGTCTGCATCCATATCAGCACACCTTCCTCTCCACCCACGTTGGGGCCATCTAGTTCCCGTCTGTGCTCTGAGCATAGGAGGTCCTGCCTAGGCTGCTCCAGACTCATTGATCACAGGGAGGACACCCCCCCTTCCCCCAAGGAAGTGGTGCCCAGCCCTCCCCACTCTGTCCCACGGTGCAGATGCTCTTTCCTGTTGGGAATAAAGTACCAGAGACTCAGCTTCCTTCCTTTCTGCATGTGGCCTTGGAGAGGGCGGGGCCTGGAGGGAGGAGGGTGCTCCTGAGGAGGGAGGTGGGTCAGAGGCTTCCTTGGGGTGAGGAATTCTGCTGTGGCAGGCTGAGGTGTGGGCCTCGTGAGCCAGTGGAGGGAGTATCCAACTCTGCTGAGACAGCCGGGGGAGAGGGCCATCCTCAAGGCCAAGGCTCTCTGTGGAGGAGGGAGCACTGGACGCCTGGTCAAGCCTGGTGAGCTCCATATCACACTGTTCTCTGCAGCTCAGAGCAGGAGTGCTGCCCAGCAGAGGCCCCTGGCTACCCTGCCTCACTTACATCTGGGGGCAAAACCGGAAAACCTCATCGGCAAAGGCATCTCAGGTGCCTCCCCGTCTCTCCCACCTCCCTCATTTCCTGAGGGAGCTGGAACCTTCTCCTTCTCAGAGGGGCCTAGATGAACACAGTAGCTCAGAGGAGCGCCCACTCTGCCTGCTCTAACCTGGACCTTTGCCCTCATTCCCACCTCCGCTCCAGCGCCTCCAGCCATGGACTCGGCAGCCAGGGACAAAATGCAGCGCGCACTCCCCACTGGTATGAGCCCTTCTGGGTGGGCCGAGAGAGGGACGGTGGGAAGAAAGATGGGGATGGTGGGTTGGGGTCTGACTGGAGCTCTGTAGGGCGGGGAGAGGAGTGGACCGCCCTGGGGGACAGGCCGAGGGGTAGGAAGAGGAGCAGACTCGGCAGCCGCTTCCTGCAGGCCTAGCCCAATTGACGCAGCTGCCCAGGCTCTTCCTGCCCAGGGCCGGAGTGGCCGGAGCAGGAGCGGGCGGAGCAGCTGGCCCGGGGTGCAGCACTCAAGTGGGCCTCAGGCATCTTCTACCGGCCAGAGCAGCTGGCCAGGCTGGGCCAGTACCGGAGCCGTGAGGTGCAGCGGACCTGTTCTCTGGAAGCACGCATCAAGGTGGGCATCAGGCAGGAGGCACAAGTGCTGGGGGCAAGCTGCAGGGCTGGCAAGGCCTCACAGCCTGCCTCCCTTCCACAGTCAGTGGTGCAGTCATACCTGGAGGGTGTGAAGACCGGGGTGTGGCAGCTGGCCCAGGCCCTTGAGGCTGTGCGGGGAACCAGAGAGGCCCTGGGCCAGGCCCGTGAGCTGCTCCGGGATATGGCTGAGGCTGCGCAGACCCTAGAACCCCTGCGGGAGCAGGTTGTACAGCACAAACAACTGCAGGCCTTGTCTCAGCTGCTGCCCCGGCTTCGAGCTGGTGAGTGTGCCTGGCCCTCAGCCTCAGCCCTCTGCTAGCCAGTTGACAAGCACCGTCACTGATCAAGGGGCTGGGATGCCAGTGGGAAATTGCATGGAGGGACACATCGGGGACCTCCCAGGGAGTAATATAGGCTTCAGATGACATATGAAGTAGGGTGCCTGTTAGTTCATTCTGGGGTTCCCAGGCGTGTGAGGGCTTCCCTGGTAGCTTAGCTGGTAAAGAATTCACTTGGAATGCAGGAGTTCATGGTTTTAGTCCTGGGTCTGGGTCGGGAAGATCCCCTGGAAAAGGGATAGGCTACCCACTCCAGTACCCTTGGGCTTCCCAGGCGGCTCAGTAGTAAAGAATCCACCTGCAACGAGGGAGACCTGGGTTCAATCCCTGGGTTGGGAAGATCCCCTGGAGGAGGGCATGGCAACTCACTTCAGTATTCTTGCCTGGAGCATCCCATTGGACAGAGGAGCCTGGTGGGTTACAGTCCATGGGGTTGCAAAGAGTTGGACACAACTGAGCAACTAAACACCGCACAAGCATGGGATGTGAGTCAGGACTGACACCTGTGGCTCTGCCCCACTTGGCTGTTATAGTTAGTTACTTGGCTGAACTAGTTCCCTAACAGGGTGGACGAATAGCCACTGGCACGACCCCCTCCCCCAAGTTCCTCCCTTCCTCCTGTTTCATCAGCTCAAGGGTTTACACCCTAACCACCATGTAGGCCCTTCCCTGGGGCTTTTCAGACTGCCCAGTGCTCTACTGTACTGACTATGAAATCTTTTACACCACACCCCAGCCCCAGGGCGTCAAAATCCACTGCTGTACCCACTGCACAGGTGGAAATGGTTTAGACTCAAGGCTGTCTCTTCTCTCTGATTAGTGCCAGCTGCAGTGGCCCACACACAGACCCTGATTGATGCCCAGCGGTTCTTGGAGGCCTATGTGAGCCTCCGGGAACTGGAGCAGCTGCAAGAAGAGACATGCGCACATCTTGGGGGCCTGGAGTTGCCAGTCTTCGAGGGACTGGGCCCTCTGGCTGAGGCCCTGGGCCAGGCTGTGGAGGCGACTGCAGGGGCTGCAGGGCAGCTGGCCCGGGAGGACCCAGCCTTGCTGGTGGCTGCCATGCGTGTGGCCGAGGTGGATGCTGGGCGCACCACCTCCCTGGAGCAAGCTCCACGGGACTGGCGACAGCGCTGTCTGCATGCACTACAGCAGGGCTTGGAGCAGGTCCACTTCGGGACATCTCTGCAGCCTGGGCCTGGGGCACTAGCAGAGTGGCTGGAGGCTCTTCGGGTGGCTCTTCCAGCCGAGTTGGCCATGGCTGAGGCTCTGGTAGCACCCTGCTGCCCACCACACTACAAAGTTGTCCAGTTGTGGGCCCACACCCTTCATGGTGGCCTGCGGCGCTGCCTGCAGCAACTCCTGGAAGGGCCTGAGCTGGAAGCTGCCGACACCTTCACCCTGCTGCACTGGGCGCTGCATGTCTACCAGGGGTCAGTCTCGGGGGCAGTAGGGCGTGGGGGCATCAAAGCCTGGGGGCTCTGTGTAACACTGGGCCACCCACCTCCAGGCCAGAGATGATGGGGAGCCTGGAGTTGGGGCCTGAGGCTGACGTGTCTGATCTGGAGCCCCTCCTGACCCTGGAAAACATCGAGCAGTTGGAGGCAACATTTGTGGCCAAAGTCCAGGTGAGTAGTTGGAGCCCAGGTTCAGAGCAGTGCTGCCGCCACCCGTGGGCCTGTATCTGTGCAGTCGCGCATCTACCTGTCTCTAGCAGTGTCAGTGCCCTGCTACATCCTGCTGCACCTTGCCCCCTTTCCCCAGGCAAATGTGGCCCAGTGGCTGCAGAAGGCACTGGATGGGGAGGTAGTTGAGTGGGGCCGAGAGCAGGAACCTGACACAGACCTGTCTGGCTTCTACCACTCACCATTGCCAGCCATCGTGCTGCAGGTGGGTGAAAAGTGGTGAAGCCTGGGGGCAGCCCTCACAGGGAAAGGGAAGGAGGGCAGGACCAGGACTCCGCTAATGGCTGTCCATCCCTACCTGTAGATCCTGGAAGAGAACATTCGTGTGACCAGAATGGTCAGCGTGTCACTGCAGCGGCGGGTGCATGGCATGGCACTGTCAGAACTGAGTGCCTTCCTGAGGAGGTCTGACCCACTCCCAACTCCTGGCCCTGCTCCCAGGCAACCCTAAGGGGTTCTGAGTGATCAGACACACCCATGGGAAAGGACTCCTTCAAAACAGGGCCTTGGTATCTTGGAGGTGGGGCCAGAGTACTAAGGACTGGGGTTGCACAGAGTGACAGCAGGTACCGGAGCCACCTCTGCTCTTTGCAGCTTCAGCGATGCTCTGATCCGATTCTCCCGAGACCATCTCAGGGGGGACGCAGTGGTCCCGCATTACGTGCCCTACCTACTGGCTACCCTCAACCACCAGTTAGCACTCAGGTACCAGGATGTGCCCACAGAACCCCACCTTCACTAACCCCTGACTGGACATCTATTCAGTACGGATCTAGCCTACACTGGGCCTTTAGAAATTTTAGACTCACGTAACCCTGGGATTCCAATCCTAGGTCTCCTAATTACTAGCTGTGTGACCTTGGGCCAGTTATCTAATCTCTCTGAATTTTTCTTCTGTCATTAATAGTATATGGGTAATAATGGACCTTCTGAGACTCACGTGAGATTACAGATATAAAGAACCTACCACTGTACCTGGCACAGAGTGTCAATTATTCATTCATTCAACAACTATTTATCAAGGCCCTATTCTGTGCCAGGTAACGTCTAGCGTTACCGCTGTGAATATAACAAAAATATTCCCTTCCTCTTGGGTCTTATGTTCTTTGGGGTGTGGGCAAGAGAGGACCAAACAAGTTAATGATGATTTTGACTCCCTCCTGACTGGGATCAACTCTCTCCTCTTACCGAAACAAACTGAAAGACATAACTTGCTCAAAAATCATACCGCGAAATAGAGGCAGGTCCGGGTGGCATGTGTGCCTTCTAGCTCGCTGAGCCCACCACTTCAGCCTCAGCACAGGGTCTACACTTTTCAGAAGTGCAGGGAGCCGCCCTTCTTGCCCTCCTCGGGCGACACACTTGTGCCACTAGGTGGCGCCCGAGTGGCTAGACAACAGAGGGCCTGTCGGGCCTTGGCCTTGGTCCTGAAGCCGTCCTTTTGGTCGGTCCAGCTCCTCCGTATCCGTCCTGCAGCCCGAATGGGTGGTTCCAGGGGTCTTGGCTCCGGTGGAGGCAGAGCTAGACAAGTTGCAGAAGAGGATCTGTCGCCTGGTGTTGGAGGCGCTGCTGGCGGAGCTACAGGTGAGGCTTCAGGGGGAGATGGGGTTGGGAGGAGCAGATACAGCGTATGCATGGGGCCCTCTGCCGGGGAATGCTGGGTCTGAATCGTCCCTCCAGCCGTGTCTCTGAACTCCGCTCTCAGCCCCTATTCGCGGTTCTGCCCTCGCGCCGCTGGCTCTCAAGCCCAGAGCTGCTGGATGACGTGTGCGAGCGGACGGCGCGATTCTGCCAGAACTTTCGGCACGTGCGGAATCCCGCGGTCCAGGTGCATCTGCGGGGAAAGGCTGGGGGGGGGGGGGGGGAGGTCAAAGCGCCCATGGGAAAAACATCCTGGACCCATTTGATCGCGATCCCCACAGCTGTTGCTGGCCGAGGCGGAGCGTACGGTGGTGCTGCAGTACTTACGTGCGCTGATGCAAGGCCGCCTAGTCTGCCGCGGTGCTGACGAGAGGACCCAGGCGGCCGAGCGCCTGCAGCACGATGCGGCCCAGCTTCAGGAGCTTTTCCTCGGTTTGGTGAGAATTCGCTGGGCGAGCGGATGGGCGGGAATCTTAGTGATTCGATAGGGGTCGAGGACTGGAGAAAGACCAACCCCTGTGTGCTCAGGGCCTGGAGGAGAGCGTTCAGTGTGCGCCAGTGCTGCTTGCATTGAGGGAGCTGCTGAACCTCAGCGACCCCACGCTACTTGGCCTCGAGGTGGCAGGTTTGCGGCAACAGTTTCCCGACGTGAGGTGCGAAGACGGGTCGGGAAGGGAGGAGACCCAGGAGGGGCTGGGCGGGGCTAACGCACCCGTAACTCCACAGCGAGGATCACGTCTCCGCCCTCCTGGACCTGCGCGGGGACGTGTCCCGAGAGCAGCGCCTGGCCGCACTCAGCTCTCTGCGGGCCGGCCCGCAGCCCTCGCCCCCAGCTGGTCGCCGAGCACTTTTCAGCCTCGTGCCAACACCTGCACCCTCGCTGGCCTCCTGCTTCCCCTCAGGGTCCTGTGCCTGACCCCTGACTGCCCGCAGAATAAAGTCACGTCCCCGTACGCCTGAATTGTACGTGTTGGCGAAGGGTGGATGAAATAAAAGTGCCCACGAAGGGCAGGGGGTCCAAGTTCAGTGACACACCTAAGGTATCCTGGTTCCAGTTCTGATATATGGCTGCGCCCCACCTATCCCGGTACCAGACCTGTATGTGGGCTGCTTTCCCAAGTACCCGGGCTTACACAGTGTGCGGACTACATCTTTACGTTTGCACACACCCGCAGAGAGCTAGCGTCTCCTACGCCAGGAGTCAGTCAACTGAGGCAGAGGGGGCGGGCTTAAGACAACACCCCACCCAGGGGCGTGACCTGATGGCGGACACCGCCCCGCCTACTCTGCCTGGCCCCACCCCAAGCCGTGTCCTCGGGCTCTTGCGGCAGCAGAGATTGACGCGAATCCGCGCTCCTTCGTCTGAGCGTGCGCGCGCCCGAGTCCGTGCGTCACCAGCGTCGGCTCCCGCGGGCTGGGCAGCTGGCGGCCTGTGTTGCGGAGCGGGAACAGCGGCGGCGAGAAGAGGATTGAACAGGTGGGGGCGCGGCACGCGGATGTAATCCCCCCACCCCCAGGAGGCAGAAAAGGCCTTCGACCGGACCCCTCCTCATCTGCCTGGGAACCCCGCTCCATTGTCCACTGGCCCCGCCCTCCATTGGGCACGCCCTTTGCCCCAGCCCCCGCCACTTATTGGCTGTAGGTCACGCCCCTCCTCGATCTCCTAGTACCCATTGGCTCCTCTTCAATGTTATCTTCTCTCGGAGTTTCTTATTGGAGCAGACCACACCCTTTACTATATCACCAGACTCCGCCTTCAGTCTGGGCTCCTCCCACAACCATCTTTCATTCATTCTGCATCTAGTGCTGTGTACTTTCGTCATGGGGGTGAATGAGAACCGTCCCTGCCCTCAGGGAGTTCAGGGGATGATGTGGGGGAACACGGACCTAGGCTTCAACAATGACAGCCTAGGGTGGTAAAGAAGCCGTTTGGGCACTGGGAGCCTCTAAGACGCTGGGAAGGCTTCCCGGAGGAGGTGAGGCCTAAACCGAGTCCTGAAGAATGGTTAGGAGTTTATTACAGGGAGACATTGGGAGGGCATTCTTGGCAAAAGGACCTGACACATGAAAGAAACAGGCATATCCTGGTAATTCCAAAGAGGTAGGTCAAATGAAAGAAGGGGAGATAAAGAGGATTGGTACAAGTAAGAGGCTTGGAGAGCAGTGAGGAATCCAGAAAAGTGTATGGTTAGTTTAGGGGAAGGAAGCCTGAGTCCCAAAATCATCCAGCAGCTTGTCACTAGGCAGAATGCTGGGAGGAGGGGGAGGGGATCAGAACTAGCTGGGGAAGCCAAGTGCAGGGAAGGAATGATTCCAGTTCTGAGAAGGACAAGGGCTCTCGGTTTCATTCCTTTACTGAGCAACTGTTCTGGGGACACAGCTGTGAACACTTAGAAGGAGAAAACATAATAATCACATATACTGTACTTCAGATGGTGATGACTGCATTGGAGGACAATATTGTGGGGAAGGCAAGGTTCTGATGGAGAGGGTTTAGAGGAGGTTTACTGTCTTATAGAGGGTGTGTTGGGAAGGCTTTTCTAACAAGATATTTGTACAGAAACCTGAGGAAAGTGAGAGTGACCCCTGTGGTTATATGAGGGGAAAGCGTTCCAGACAGGGACATTTTCAGTTCGAGATGTCTGTTATACATGCAAGTAAACATGTTGAATTGAGAACTGATAACAGAGTTTGAGGGGCTTCCCTGTGGTTCAGATGGTAAAGAATCTGCCTGCAATGCAGGAGACCTGGGTCGGGAAGATCCCTGGTAAAGGGAATGGCAACCCACTCTGTATCCAGTATTCTTGCCTGGAGAATTCCATGGACATAGGAGCCTGGTAGGCTGCAGTTCATAGGGTTGCAGAGTCGGATATGGCTGAGCAACTTACACAGACAGAACACTAGTCTGAAATTTATGGAAGAAGTTTGGGCTGACATAATTAAAACCATGAGAGTGGATGAGATCACCCAGGGAGACAGCATAAATGGAGAAGAGAAGTTTCCAAGTCCTGGACATTAGAGTGTTTGTTTTTTTTTTCCAGGGGAGGGGTGGGTAAGGAAGGATTTATTAGTTGTAGCAAGTTAGGAGAACAGCAGGGATCTTTCCCAAAGTGGTGTCTCCACATTATGGTGTTAAGAGGTCAGAAAGAGATGACCAGCAAGGAAGACAAGAACACTCAGATAGTGAGGTGGGAGAACTATGTCCCAGTGTATTTGGGAACCAAGTGGAAGATGTGGCCAAGCTGAGATGAAGTCATTAACTTTGTCAAGTTCTACTGATCAACATGAAGATCACTGGTGACCTTGGTCAGGTCAGTTTTGATAGAGAGCAGGGGCCAGAAGCCCCTACTTGAAGTGAAATTTAAGACAGAACAGGAAAGAAGGAGCTAGATAGAGACTGAGTGTAGATGACTTGGAGTGTTGTGTTACCCTGAGAAGCAGCTGGAGGGAGATGCAGTGAAGCTAGAAGACTATGGGGTCAAGTGAGGGTTTTGTTTTTTTAAGATGGAGAAATAAGAGCATGTGTTTATACTGACGGGAAGAATCCAGCAGAATGGAAGAGACTGATGATGTAGGAGATGTAGGGAAAAGGAGAGATGCTGGAATTATGTCCCTGAGCAGACAGAGTTCGGAGGATGGAGCCTTTGGTCAGTCTCTGGGGATAGACTGGGTTGGACTGAGCCCTGGTACAGAGTTGGTGTAACTGTCCTGACACTGGCCTTGGATGACCACTAGGAAGATGGCTCCGATAGGAGACACCCAGGGATTGGCTTGGATTGGCTGAACTTTCCCTCTGCTTACAAAAAGCTGTTTCTAATTTAGATTTGAACAGATGGATCAGAGGAGAGAGAGAGCATTCCAGGTGGAGGGACTAGCATAAGCAAGGGGCAGGCAGGCCCAATGGGCTGGAGGAGGTGGATGGAGCCGGGTGGGAGGGTGGAGTGAGACGGAGAAAATGCCAGAGGTAGAAGGTAGTGAGACCCCCTCACCTGACATCCTGGCAGCTGAGGCTACATTATACCAAATTCCCAGTCTGGGTGGGTGCTGAGCACAGGGATTAGAATCATGAGTTGGGGGTTTAGGCCTTACCCTCAGAAGCTCGTGGGCTAAGGGGATTTGAGGAACCACCATCTAAGTGGGTGTATGAGACTTCCTCCTGCTTTCCCCCAGTCCAGGGAATGGACTAACTAGGGTGGAGGTGAGGGGGCAAGGGGCCTGCTGGCCCTCACTCAGGCCACACCCACTCACTGCTGGCCTCCATGTCCTTCCTGTGTCTCCAGAAGTCGACGGTGTGGGGAGCTGGAGTGACCTGGCTGGATGTGCCCTCCAGGACAGAATGGTGCTGGACTCAGGTGCTCAGGTGTATGAGCAGGCACCCCCCAGCCCACCAGCCAGCCCCTCCTCCTTGGCCCATAGGCCGGGGCCCTCAGACCGAGATGGGACAGCGCTGTTCCCCTGGCCTCAGTCCCTGGCCCTGCCCCTGGCTCTGTCCGTCCCCTCAGCCCTACAGCCCCAGGCGGAGAGGCAGCCCTTCTCAGAGCTGCACTTGGGCCGCCGTGGACACATGCGGCGCAGTGAGAGCACCTACACAGTGAACAGTACTGGCCGGCGGGGGGGCAGCACCCAGGGTCGGGCCCCGCCTGGACGGGGACGGGACCCAGGTGGGGGCACCCTGCGGCCCGCGGCCTCCCTGCCTCACATCGCTAAAGCGCGGAAGGAAGCGGGCCGCGGCATCAGCAAGAGCCCCTGCATGTTGGTGGCTCTGCGGCCAACCAACATGGACCGTGAGCGGGACAAGTTCTTCCAGTCCCATTACACCTACAACCCACAGTTTGAATACCAGGAACCCATGCCCACGGCTGTGCTGGAGAAATACTGTGAGGCCTCTGGACAGTTCATTCATCAGGTCAGTGCAGACTGCCCGTCTCACCCCAGCCCGGACCACCTGAGTGGTCCGGCCTGACCTGCTGCTGCGGCCCTCTGTGCAGGCAGTTGGCATCATCGAGGCTGTCCTGGAGAAGTTTGGGACCTATGAACACTTCGAGGCTGCGACAGGGGGCCAGCTGCTGACCAAGTGCCAGATCTGGTCCATTGTGCGCAGATACATGCAGAAGGAGGGCTGCGTCGGGGAGGTGAGCTCACACTGCCAGTGATGCCCCTTTTCCACCCGCTCCCAACCAGACTACCAAGTGGGCAGTGCCAGGCCCAGCTCCATTCTGGTGGAGCTAGTGACCTCAGGCCAGCCCTGTTCCCGCCCCTGCCCCAGTCAGGTGGGAGCTGGCTCCAAGCAGAGGTGGGGCAGGGTGGGTGTCGTGGTCAACTGTCCTGCGTGGCTCCCCTGCGGCATCAGCAGGTCCACCTGCCCACTGGCCCCCAGGGTTGGTGGCCATGACACGCGTCTCTGCCACCCACAGGTAGTGGTACAGCTGAGTGAGGACCTGCTGTCCCAGGCAGTGATGATGGTGGAGAACAGCCGGCCAACGTTGGCCATCAACCTGACTGGAGCCCGCCAGTATTGGTTGGAGGGCATGCTGCGGCACGAGATAGGTCAGGGTGTGGTAGGTGGGTGGGCTGGGATGAGAGGGGGCTGGGATGTGGGGTGGGGGGCAGGCAGTGAGGGACCCCAGTAACTCCATCCCCTCTCATTCTTCCCCTTCCCTTCACCAGCAGCCACCTTCTCCCTCTGGCTCACAGAGGTAGCCCAGAACATGCCAGCCCATTCTTTGGACTCACCCTCATTTCCTGTTCCTTCTGGGTATCTTTTTCTCCCTCGGCTTTCTCTCTGATTTCCCTTGTCCATGGGGCAAGACTGCTGAGGCCCGGACAGGCCAGAGGGAGAACCCTAAGGGCCCCACTAGTCTAGCCAACAGTACAGGCCTTCCATGGTGGGTGCAAGTTCAGATTCTGGGAGGGGAACTGGTTGAAGACACAGCTGGATTTAGGAGGGGACTGGCCAGGCTGGAAAGGCAGGCATAGGACACTAATTACTATTCTTCCATGTCTGTCACTCCTCGTCAAGAATCATTGCTCTGGGCAAAAGGTAGTTTTTGCTGGAGATGCCAGCATGAGATGGGCATGCAAGGGTGTGGGGCCGGGGTGGTGTGTGAGTTCCCCGCCTCTCTAGGGGACTGGCGGGGCGAGCAGTGTGCATTTGGGAGAGTTGTGTGTGTGTAGTCCTGGATGGGTGGGGGGAGATTTATGTGTGTGAGCCTCTGGATCCTTGGGTGTGAGTTCACCTGAAGAGGGTCTTGATGATGCCTTAGGTTGGGTGAGTATGGGTGTGGGGTGGAGAGGCTTGTGTGAGAGCCTGATTCTAGGGGCATAAAGCTATGTGAGTCGCCGGCTAAAGGTCCAGCCAGGCAGAGCAGGGCCCGGACAGGGTCAGGCCAGGAAGACCCTCTGGATGCCCAGCCCAGCCTCTTCTTTGCCCACCCCGCAGGTACCCACTACCTTCGGGGCGTGAACAACGCGCGGCAGCCATGGCACAGCGCCGAGGGCCGGCAGCAGTACGGGCTGCGGCCAGCGAACCCCACGGAGGAGGGCCTGGCCAGCCTGCACAGCGTGCTGTTCCGCAAGCAGCCCTTTCTGTGGCGCGCGGCGCTGCTCTACTATACGATACATCGTGCCGCGCGCATGTCCTTTCGCCAGCTCTTCCAGGACCTGGCGCGCTACGTGCAGGACGCCGACGTGCGCTGGGAGTACTGCGTGCGCGCCAAGCGCGGCCAGACTGACACCTCGCTGCCCGGTGGGCCCCAGTCCTGTGGGGCTGGCGGGGGAGTGCCTCGATCTGGGGCGGGAGGGTGAGGGTGGGGCTTTGGACCTAGGGCTCACGGCCCTCCTGTGCCCACAGGCTGCTTCAGCAAGGACCAGGTATACCTGGATGGCATCGTGCGCATTCTGCGGCATCGCCAGACCATCGACTTCCCGCTGCTGACCTCGCTGGGCAAGGTGAGGGGCCACAGGGCCTTCAGAGGCCCCAGCCAACTCTGCCCCTTACTGCTGTATTCCCTGAGCCTCTGGTTGGAGCTTGACTGAGGACTGGGTGCCAGGCCTCTCATGGGGGGAGTGTGGGTGGAGTGAGCACAGGAGATGACGTGACAGTCTGGCAGCCAGTATAGGTGCTTTTTCCAGCCCACAGGTGTGTAGACACTGCAAAGGAAGTGAGCATTCCAGGCCAGGAGAGCTGTCAAGAAGGGCGGAAGCAGGCTGGAGAAATAGCCAGGGATCAAGCCCTTGGCACTGGGTATTTGTGCCAGGCTGAGGAAGTTGAACTTCATCCAAAGCAGTGGGGAATCCAAGGAGCTTCAAGCAAAGGGTGGCACAGATGTTGGCTTTAGAAGGCTCTGTGTATCATATGGGACGAGAGGCCTAGGGAAGGGAGTGCAAGGGAAAGAGGAGGAGGCCTTTTTCATCTCTTCTGCAACACTGATGGTGGTCTGGCATAACCCCACAGTGGTCATGCAGTTGGAGAAGAAGGGGCAAGCTGGAGAGATCTTCAGAGAGTGGCCACTCTGAGTGGGAGGGTGACACTATGTCCCCACCCTAGAATCTGACCTAGGGGCTGTGAGAAGGGTTGGGCTGCATAAGCTGGCACCCAGGAAGGCTGGATATGAGGCATCTAAGGTGCCTGGTATCCAGGGAAAGATGTTCAGAAGGCAGTTGGATACCCAGATTTGGAGATAAAGGGGGGAAAGCTGGACTGGAGACACGTGTAGGGTTGTAGCACATAGATGTTAGAAGAAGGTGTTGAGAGAAAGAGCAAACACCCAGGATGGAGCCACAGGGTACAGAATGTTGGGAGTGAATCAGAAGGGGAGTGGGAGGGGTTCTGGGAGCAAAGGGCTATGGGCCATTGTAAGAGAGCTGGGACCAGCTGCCTGAAAACCAGGGGACCCTGCACTGAGGCCCAGCTTTCTTCCTGCAGGTCTCCTATGAGGATGTGGATCACCTCCGGCCGCACGGGGTGCTGGACAACACCCGGGTGCCCCATTTCATGCAGGACTTAGCACGCTACCGGCAGCAGCTGGAACACATCATGACCACCAACCGGCTGGATGAGGCAGAGCTGGGCCGCCTGCTGCCTGACTGATACTGGTTGAGGGCTCCGGATCAGCCCCCAGAACATGAAGCTGGCTGCTCTGTGCTTCCACAGCCTGGGTGTTTCTTGGGGCCTGGGGAGGGCAGAAGCATTTCAGGAGGGAGCAGCGGCAACAGCAGAGTTTGTACTAGCCTCCCTGGACCCCGAGGGCCAACAGCAGCATGTCAGGCAAACTAAGCCTGCCCTCCTGTCTCCAGCTATCTGTTGAGCCAAGGAAGAGCCTGATGGAGGGAGGGAAGCTGAGCATGAGTGGGCATAGGGGGGTGGTTTGGGAGTAGAAACTTGTTCTTGCATGAGATGGCTTTGGGTGTCTGCGTACTCCAGTCTTTTCGTCCCCCACCTGGCCCCTTGGTGCTCCTTCAGCTTTCATGCTGTCTACCTCTCACTGGGTCCTGGTGGGGATCTCCCTTCTCCTGGGGTGACTGCCTGAGCCTGCTGTCCTGGCTTTCACACAGACTCAAGGAGCAGGGATCCTGGTAGTAGAGACCCAGCTGGGCTGGGGTGTGCTTTCCAGCATTTTGCCTCTCCCATTGTCATTGTATGTATTCCCTATTTATGTGCTGTATGTCCTGGGCTTCTGAAAGTTTGGTGGAGGGAACAGGGCTCCTCTGGAAGGCACTGACTGTTCCCAGCTCCACCCATACACCCCCCCAACACACACATACACAGGCCTTGTGAGTCAAGCCGAGCGCTCACCTGGCCTTGCCCTCAACCCCTGCACTGGCCTCTGCTGTCCCTGTCTTTGCCCACACCCTTGCAGCTGGTCTCTGGCAGGGGTTGGCATAGGCTGGCAGCATCCACAATCAAGCCTGAGGGGCAGGCCCCCGGTGATTCCAAGTTCCGAGCCTCTCCTCAACCAGGAGAGGTGCCAAGATGATTGTTGCTTCTAGTTTCTCATACAGCCGAGTCAGGTTGACCTGGCCCCGCTCCCACCCTTGGCCTTACTTTTCCCATTTGAAAACTTGGAAACACAGCTGGAAAGTCCTTATTCCTTTAGTCATTAAATATGTATAGAGCGCCTTCTGTGTACCAGTTAACTGGTCAGAATCCTCACTGAGCTCCCAGTCCTGAGAGAAGCCAATTAAAACAATTACAATGAAGTGTGTCGGCTGCATCTACTCACGATCACTTCCACTTTCTCTTAATCTCCCTTCCCAAGGCTGTGAGTCTAGCTTTCTCTAAGTGGAGAGAAGTACTCCTTTCCTGGCCCTTTGTGCCGGTGCTAGGGGCTTCCATGGGGTGGGGCTGGTGATGACACATGTTCCCAAATGGTTCATGAGGATAAAAGGGCCATGGAGTAGGGCCCAAGGATCTGGCCCTTGTCCCACTGGGGACCTGGGTCTGGGGTCTATAGGGGTACAGCTTGTACTGTTGACGACAGAAATGGGCTGAGGACTGTGCCATGGACACAGGGCTGCCCAAGTCTTTGGCACTTAGAGCCACACATCCACACCCTCGTTCCTGGGCAAAGAGCCACAATCAAGAGTCCAGGCTGACCCTCCAGAATTTATTCACTTTCAGTGGTACTGGGCCAGATGGAACCTTGGTGGCATCTGATGTCACCATGGCAGGATCCCAGATCCCATCCTGTTACGACGAAGAGTGGCCTGTAGGCTCTATGGCTTTCAGGAATCTAGAAAATGATGGAAGGGGCGTGGTCATTCAGGTGGAGCCCCCCTCCCCGCGCCGCAACCTCCCAGGCCACGCCCTCCCGCCAGGTTTGGGCAGCCTCACACCTTCAGACTCGTCTCCAGCCTCGAAGTCAGAGTCAGGCTCTGGCTCCGGCTCTGGCTCCGGCTCTGGTGGCTCTGGCTCTGGTTCTGCCTCCGGCTCCCGTTCCGTCTCTGGCTCCGGTTCCGGATCCATTTGGGTTTCCAACTCCGGTTCAGCCCCTTCAGAGGTCTCGGCTTCCAGCTCTGGCTCAGTTTCCTCGAGGGTTCCGGATTGTGCTGCCTCGGAGTCCTCAGGACCCCGGGCCTCGTCGGATTCTGGAGCTCTGGGCAGCCAGGGGCACGTGGCCCCTGAGTCAGCAGCCCCGGGAGTCCAGTGGCCTGGGCATGGAGGGTCATAGCTACGTTCCCGGTAGCCTGCGGCGGAGGTGGGAGTGTCTCAGGCTCAGTTTATCCCCTTGGTTTCCTCTGCACACGTGCGAGTCTTTGGGGAAGACCACAGATCGATGCCCCCACGCCACGGCCCCTTCTCTGACCTAGGCCCCGCCTCCCCCGCGCGCTCTCACCGGTCCTCACGTGCTGCCAGTCCCAGGCGGGGTCGGGCGCCCGCACAGTTCGTTGGGCGCAGCTCAGCAGCTCCTGGCAGGCAGCCTCGCCCTTGCTCTGCACCAGCAGCAACAGGCGGCGCACCCTGCGTTCGGCGTCAGGCAGCGCGTCTAGCGCCTCGTACTCGGGCCCGGTGAGCACGCCCCGTGCCAGCAGCGCATCCAGCAGCAGCCCCGAGTCCGCCTGCAGCGTCTCTACCAGGCGTTTCCGCTCGCGGTCGATCGTCTCTGATGGCCTCTCCTGGGTGTTGCCCATGGTAGGGGCTGCATGGGAGGTGGGGGGCGAGAGGTAGTGGGGGCCGGAGCTCCCCTGCTTTTGACCTCCCTCCCGGGGCCCCAGTGAACATCCGTGGCTGGGGTCTAAGTTCACCTGGATCTCTGCTGTGGCCCGCCAGCCCCGCAGTGCAGCACAGGACCGATCCTGCCTCCCTGGCCTTTTCTGCCTTATCTCTGCTTCGGGCTTCACCTTCAGTCCCTAAATGTGAGCTGTGGCGCTCCTCTCCTCCCCTAGCTACCCCAGGACCATCATCTACTCTGACTGCCCTCCCCAAGCAGGTCCTTCCTCCTGAGTCCCTGCCACCTGTAGATCCCGCGATGGATTCAGACCTAGTTTATCCAACCTAACTTCTCTTTCCCAACCTGCTTCCCCAACTTGCAGCTGGTCCTGATAACCCACACCCAGCTTGCAATCAAGTCCTTTTCAGTCTCTCTGCTGAATACTTTTGTCAACTTCACCACTGAGTCTAGTCTTTCATTTCCAGCCTAGACCCTGCAAAGTTTCGTATCTCCCGTCCAGGATCCCAAAGTGCTGAGAGTCTTTCCGCTCCTCTCACCTACCTGAGGAAGTCCAAACCCCTTATCCTGAGCCTGAGGTCAATCCTTCCTGGACAGGCCCCTGCCTCTGCACCCCCTCACCAATACCACCACTGTGTTGGAACCCCAGTGTGGTCTCCTGGCCTCTCCTGGTTTCCTGAGTAGAGATACTTGAGTCCTCTTGAGTCTTAGCTCTGACCGAGATGTTCTGACATCACCTGAGACCAAACTGTCTCCCTGCTACTCTGGGAATGATTTACAGCCATCATCTTGAAGTATCCAGGACCCAACTTATAAAAGCTACCAGGAAATGTCAAACTTTCACTGTTTTCCTCCGTGGATCCTCCCATTTTGAGAGGCTGTCACCACCCCAACAGCAGGTGTTGGGCAGAAATTAATCTGCTTTGTTCACTTATCAACAACCAAGGACAATGGCCCATCTCCTCTTGGGTCGCCTGACCCAGGCAGCAAGGTCCCTGGCATTAAGGGGCAATTAGGTCAGGCCCTGGACCACTCCCTCTCTCAGTCCATCTCCCTTGGCCTTGGCTTTGTCCAAGGGTTTCATCCTCTCTTTGGGGTCCCTCGTTTACCTCCTTACCTGGCTCTAGGAATGGGAGAGAGGATTTGGTCTTAACCCCCATGTCTCTCACTGCCTGGTGTCATGCTATGCCTCTCTGGTCATTGCACCCCTCCTAGCCATACTGAGGTGTCGGCCCTTCCCTCAGGCCATGAGCAGAGACCCTTTGCCCTTCCCTCTCCCTTCATGTCCCATTTGTGACAAATGCTGCTCCTCCACTAACATCTCAGTAAGAACCAGCATCTCCCTCCACCCCCCATCTCCTGTAACAGCCTCTCCCAGCACCTCTCACTCCTGTCCCATCACCCTATGGAACAGTGACTTTGACAACTCTCTAGGGTAGGATTATTGTGCCCATTTTACAGATGAGGAGACAGGTTCAGAGAGACCAAGTGGCAGAACTAGAGTCTGACTTGCTCCAGCCTGAACTACGAGGTGTCTGGCCAAGCAAAATGTCAACCATAACTACCTGTCCCCAAACCCTCGTGAGACCACCAGAGAGAACCAAGACTATCTGTTCACCTCCCACCCCCTAGATAGCAGGCTTTCCCCCACTTCCCTCAACCATTCAGTACCCGCACTTCCTAAACTTTGTAGACACTGTTCCCTGGACCTGGAATCCCTTTTCTCCCTCCAAGCGGTGGACCCATCCTCCAAGACTCAATTGTCCCCTCCTTTACCCCAATGCCCGAGTGTCCCAGAAGCAGATTGGTTCCTTCTCCTCTGTATCCCAGTGAACATCATACACCCTCACTAGGCTGACATCACTGGACTGTGTACCATGGATCCTTTGCCCTCTTACTTGCGGTTTCCAAAACCTGTTCCCCCAGTCAAAAGTGTAGGAGGGGAGGGAGGACAGAACCCACTGTGTATAGGTGCAGAGAGGGAGGGGACATATTAGGTTGGCCCCTCCTTTTTTCTCCCTCCTCCCCAAATTATTTTCATGTTAGCTTCCTCCTCTAGTTACCCCAAGTCCTGCCTTTTGTCCTGTTTGGAGAGCAGAGACCCCAGCTAGTCTAGATCCTCTGAGATTTAATGCTCAGAATATTGAAGTTACGTCCTTCAATGATCACAGCCCAGATTCTTCCCAAAGGACCAGGCGGCTCCAGTTAGCACGCGTGGTCGGGGGTCTCTGCCGCCCTCCCCACCTCACTTCCTGCGCGCGTTCTTTCGCTAAGGAGCGAAGGTGATGGGTCAACGCGGAAGACTTCGCGCACCTGCGAGCTTTTAACATCCATCCCTCCACCCAGCCCCAGAGACGAGTTCTGCGGAGGGGAGGGGAGGGGCGGGGCTCACAGACCTTCGCGCAAGGCTGCTGGTGGTGATTCGGCACGGATTTGGCCCAAACTCAGTTTCTCTTCCCTCCCCCAGCCGGGGCGGGGGGAGGGGTTCGGTGGGGCTCCCGGTCCCTGCGCTCCTGGCGGCCCCACTCACGGGTCGAGCCTCGGCGGGGCAGGAGATGACGAGGCAGAAAGGGCCGGGCGGGATGGGAGCAGCAGCTGCGGCGGGGGCGGGGGCGGGGCTTCTGAGACTCTGGGTCCGGCCGCAGAGGTCGAGTACCGTCTGGCCGCGTATACGCAATCCGCTTTCCCTCATCACCCCGGGCGCACCGGAGGAGTCAGGGTGGGGATCGTTAAGCCCGCGGACCCAAGTACCCCAGCAATTCCCAGACGTTTTACACCCATTCTCTCTACCCGCACAGAGAAGGCTCAGAGAAGGGGACCAGCTTACTCAAGATCACAGAGCGGGTGCACTGCGGTGCTGGGTGTGACCCCTAAAAGCCCCCGATTCCCGGAGGTCGCAGTGGCCATGAGCCAGCCCTGGATTCGCACCCGGAGGATGGGGCCTAAGCAAGAGAGCTCGGCCTCGGAGGCACCTCCGCTCTCCAAGGGTTCCTCGATTAACATTAAAGCCCTGGGATCTGGACGTTTCTATGAAGGCAAAGGCGCCCCCCCACCCATGACTTCTGTGTTCCCTGGTCGGTAGAGGAAAGAGACCAGAAACACAGAAAAAAACCGCGGTTTTATGCAGGGCTCGGGAATGGAGAGGGGCTGCCAAGAAAGTGCGGCTTCACTCAGCGTCCACCAGGGGGCTCAAGGAAGCCGAGCAGGGCGTGCTCCTGCCGGCCAGCCCCGCAGCAGGGCTGGCTTCGGAGTGGAGGGGGTCTCAGGGCGAGGGGTTGTCTCCCGCGCCCAGGTAGGAGGCCCGGCTCTCAGGGCTGCTGTAAATGGTTAAAGCTCCGGGCAGGCTGAGGGCTGGGCCTCCCAAAGCCGCTGGCATGTCCAGCAGGAGTGGTGCCCCGAGGGTGGAGTCCTTTCCTAGGAGAAGCGGGGCTGTACTCAGCAGGGAGAGACGGTCATCTCCTTTCTTCGGGGAAGGAGAGCTTCACTCGCCTTGCCCTCTGGTCAGTTGAGATGAAACATCCACTCTCAACCACCCCCCTCTCCCAGCCTGACTCCGGGGATTTCCCTCCCAAACATCGACTGCCCAGCCCACCCAATCGTGATAGCTCAGGTCCCTCAGGGTCTCCCCCTGGTCCCTGAGTCACCACAATTATTACCTGGGCCTGGAGAACTTAACCCCTTAACCGCCAGCTCGGTCTCACCCTTCTCTGGAACCAAGGGCTGCAACTGCAGAAGAGAACCCCAGGAAGCAGCTGGTGAAGGGAGCTGGGGCTTTGGCTGAGGGAGAACAGTGGTGGGCTAAAGGGCTTGGCTGAGCAACCCTCAACACCCACCCCCGCCGCCCTCCTACCCCCATCTTACCAGGGACAGCTCCATGTCTAAGTCCATCAGAGTCCATTCCCGCCCTTGGAGGCTGGGGCCCAGCACCTGGGGGGAGCTCTGGGTCAATGGTGCCCAGACAGCTGGAGCCCACTGAGCCCTGTGCCCCTGCCTCACGGAACGTGTACTCACATCCAGCGGCCCTGCGGGCTCCACACTTTCAGGGGGGGCCCGAAGCAGCATTGGAGGCAGCAGACTCTCTGGACTCCGGCCTCCCCTCTCCAGGTCCAGAGGGCCCCTGTGCACAGAGAACTGCTGTTGGCCACTCCCTGCATTAGGTTTCCAAGGAACCTGGATACATCAGGATCTAAATCTGACAATATCTAGAAAGTGTTAGAAGAGGACCTCCCAACCCCCACACACAGAAGGGCACAGACAAAGTGCCTTCTGCCTCCTACCTTTGGTCTGAGGTTTGGGTTGTGTGCCTGCCCCCACCCAGGCAGTTATCAATACCAGTGGGTCTTCAACTGTCATGTACTTTACAATCTTGACAATCACCCCAGTGGTAGCATTTAAAATGCAGACTCCTCAGCCCTGCCCCTGAGGCGTTTCCACTTGCCAGGGGCCTCTGAAACTGGTGCTCCTTAGAGCAACTCTGAGAAATCAGGTCAGATCATGGCTGCCTCCTCAGCCACCCCGGGGCAGACAAGGCTGGGAGGTTCAGGACTAGCTAGTGCGGGTCTAGCTGAAAACATGGCCCACGGGGTTTATGATCACAAATGGGCTTTCTGCTCACCTGTCGGGAACCTCCCTGGGGCCTCTTGGTTCAGGCTGTTGGGCATTCCTGGGCCCCTCAGGGCTGAAGCTCCCTTTCCCCTCCAGGATGGCCTGCACTACAGCCACAGGCAGCGGTGGGGGTGCTGTCACGCAGAAGTCACACTCGTTTGGGGCCAGGGCCAGCCCGGCCTCGCCTTCCCCCCCTGGGCTGGCTGGCTCTTCTTTGAGCAGTGCCAGGCCCTTCTCCCTGCACCAGAGAAAAGCTTCAACCAGACCCTGGCGCTGACCTCTCCCCCTATCCCCACAGCCATCTGGGCTGCCAGGCCCGCCCCGCCACAGCTCCCCAGAAGGCAGCCCCTGTCCCTCTTACCTCCTGCCACCACTGGAGGGGGAAAGCCTGGTTCCTTCAGGGGATGGAGAGTCTTCCGGGAGGTCGGAGATGATGGGGCCCCTGGCCCTGTGAGGGCTGCTGAGGCCCAGCGTGGTCTCCGGGAGGGGCTGTAAGTAGAAGACGGGTTGAGCTCTTTATCTCAAGTCATAGGGTGAGCCAGAGCCCGACTGGTACCACGTGGGCCAGACCTAAGGGGGGAGGCTTGAAGGGGGAGGCTTGACCCTTGCTGGGTCTGGTGGGAGGGAGGTTAGGCTCCATCTTCTCTCCTATTTCTTTTCTTTCTTTTTTTTTTTCATCTCTTCTTTTTGGGGAATGGGGAAAGGGAACAGGCTCTCTATGGAGGGAAGAGAGGAGAATCAAAAACCTACCGACTGGATAAAGTAGGGGTCCTGCAGGAGGGCACCAGGTAAGGGGCAGGCGTTGAATTTGGCTGGTGTTGGGCACCCTTCATCCAGCATCAGGGACCTGTGCAAGATGGCCAGGGGCACAGGCAGGGGGCTGGGCAGGTTCATCTCCCAGGCCCCTCAGCCTGCACCACTGCCCTCCCACAGGCCCCAGCAGCCACGTCAGCAGAGCTGAGGCCTGTTGCCAGGGCATCAGTCACATGCTGGAGGCATAAGGGGCTCCCCCCCCACCAGAGATGGGGGCCCTTTGGGGGCAGAGGGGAGGGAGGAAGCCTGGTTGGGCCCCAGACCCTCTGCTCTTGGGATGCTCTGGAGTGAGGGGAAGGGGATCATAAGGTGGAAATACAGGATTAAGGCCCTGGAAGTGAGGGGTCTGAGAGTTGGGGTTTTGTGGTAGAATTAGGGGTGGGGTGAAGCCCTGGAATGGGGCTTTAGGGGAGATGGCCATGGGGTGAGGAAGACTGTAGTGCAGGGGGAAAGACAGGTGAAGGGGTTTCTGAAGGAGAAGGAGTCCTGCCTGGGGCTCTGGCAGGGAAGTCCTGCAGGGAGTAGGGGCGTCTCTGGGGTTCTCACTCACAGCTTCCTCTTAGCTCCTGCGCTGCCAGACCCAGCCTGAAGTGGCCCAAAGAGGCACTGGATCAGCTGAAAAGGAAACGAAGGGTTAACTCACCCCTCACTCTCACAAGACACTGCCAGGGGGCTTCCGGGACTGGCCTTTGTCGAGGCTTCCGGGACTGGCCTTTGTCGAGGGCGGCGGGGCGGGGTGCGTTCAGGAGTGGGGCGGGGGAGGAGGGTCACCTTGCCGATGACCCGGTGCTGCTGACCGTGGCTCTGCCGCAGCGTGACCACCTCCCTCCACAGGATCTCGTTCTGCCTGGGGGAAGGCGCGGGAGGATGCTGAGGCATCTGAGAGCTCGCGGGGTCACCGCCGCCCACCCCCAGAACGGCAGGCCCGCGCCCGCATCCGCTCGGACGATCGTCCATTCATAGTCAAGAGACTGCCACAGCTCGGCCCACTGGTCTTGGAGGAGGTGCCCAGAACCATCTAGAAGCCAGTGTCCTCGCGCCCAGAGCCCCCCTTCCCCCTCCCCATCCTCCTCCGCCCCCTCCCCCGCACTGCCTGAGTTCCCGCAGCCGCGCCTCGGTGCTCTCCTGCATTCCCCGAAAAGCCTGCACCTCGCCCAGCAGCCGGCCCAGGTCCTCGGGGCGCCAGCGGCCGTCGTCGCCGCGCAGCGCAGGCACCTGCAGGAGGGAGCCTCCCTCAAGTAAGGGTCGCACGAAATAGCTGTCCCACCTCCACCCGGGTTCGCTGGTCACTGCTGGCCGCCCCTAACCTTGCGGCGCACGCGTTCCAGCAGTTGCTCTCGGCCGCGTACGAAGCTCGGGTGCTGGAACTCGACGTGATCCCGTTCGGGTCTCAGCAGGCCACCCTGCTCGATGCTCACCACCTTCCGAAAACCGTCTAGGGAGCGGGGCGCGTGGGCGTAAGTTGCTGAGTCCCCGCGATCCAAGTCATCCACGCTAGCTTCCCACTCGGCCCTAGGGACTCACACATATTGAGTTGCCGCACGAAGCTCGCCATGTTGCTGTGCTTGAAGTATTGGGGCAACACCTCCTTGGCGAAGCGGCTCTGGTCGCTCACGAGGAAGCTGGTCCCGCTCTGAGGAGAGCACCGCCCGCCCACTCATGGTGCGGGCGGAGACCAGACGACACGGTGAGCGGTGCCCGCCCACGGCCAAGCCAGCGGGCCGGCGCGCGCACACACAAACTCGCACTCACTCTGGAGACCGAGACTGTCATTCATGGGGACGTGGGACGAGGCCGGCCGGAACCAGCTCGGAGGCCTATCCCGGGGCCACCACAATGAACCTCTACCCCAGCCCACCCAGACTCCCTACTCGGTTTTCTAGGAGGAGGTGCCGAGGCCAGACTTGGGTTCCAGACCCGGATGGCTCCCAGACCCGCGTTGTGACTCTGATTTAGAATCAGACCCAGCCCTTCCCTTCTCCTGGTCTCCTTTTTCCCATCTGTCTGATGGGATAGGGTGGGAACTAGAAGACCTCGAAGATCCTTCGGGTGCTGGGTCTCCTTCAGAAGGTTCCTACCCTTTCCTCTGCCCGAAGGAAGTCGCCTCACCTCCATCTCCAATACCACACCCTCCGCCCAAGCTGTCGCCTACCCTAGACGGCTGAATCAAGGGACCCACAACCCCGTCCCAGGCAGGGGTTGATGAGCGTGGACGTTCACTGACGTGGAGGAATCCCGGGGACCAGTGAGGAAGTCGAGGGGCCCCAGCCCTCACCGGGCTCCAGCGGATCAGGTGGTCGGTGCCCGGGTCGCCCACCAGTGCCCATAGCTTGCCGAGGAAGGCAGGCACTGGGCTGGGGCCCGGCTCCGTGGGCAGCGCGGCCGGCGCTTCCTGCATGGCGCAGTCTCGGCACCGCTAAGCGCTCGGGCCCGGCCGCCGCGGGCTTGTCAAAGCCGCGGAAAGTGCTGCGTTTGCCGCCCGCCCCGCCCTACTCCGCCTCCCGGCGCCGGGTCAGGCGGGGGCCACGTGCGAACTGGCGGGGCGGGGCTCTGGCCGCGGCCGCAACACCAGCGGACCGAAAGGGCAGTATGGGATCGGATGTGCGTGGGGGCAGGGGGCAGGAGGGAGGGAGACCTGAGTTCGAGTCGCACCCTTCTCAGGCCCGCAGTTTGCTCCTGTGTTCTTCGGGAGAAATCGAGCGTACACAGCCTGATGTAGGCTGGGAAAGAGATGGGCACAGCCAAGCCTCGGGTAGTGGTGCAGATAGGGGCGGGCGAGGGTGGGGAGGAGAAGCTGACACCCTCCCGCGGAACCTGGGACACTGTCATTCCGAAGATGCCAGGACCCCGACCCTGACCGCTGCAGCTGCACCGGTAGAAATGGACCTTGAGGTCTCAAACCCTCCCTACCCCTCTTCCAGCCTCTGTCAGTTCAGAGCAGACCCGGCTTTTCACAGGACTCAGAGATAATGCTTGATTTATTCCACACTCACCCCAGAGGCATGACTTGAGCCACTGCCCTCCCTCCCTCCACGCCAGGGCCGCCGAGCTAGCGACACGTTTGCAAAGGGCTGGGGTTGGAGGAGGGTGATCCCTGTACTGCGGGGACAGTGGGTGTCCGCAGATGTTGAAAGCAACGAGTGGGCTCACGGCGCCCTGGACCGGTAACGATGCCACTTTATAGGCTCTAATCCTCGCGAGGGACAAGAGGCAAGAGTCCCAAAGGAGAGGGCTAGCAGCTGGCCCGCCCCTGGGCAAACCCACGCAGCATTTCAGAGGACACACGTCCGCAGGGAGCGGAAAGAGCGTTTGTCCCATCACGCCACAAGCGTGGGCCGCCAGGGATGCGGCTCCCGCGTTAGCTTGAGCGTGTAGCTGCGCAGGCGCGGGCAGCGCGCGCGGAAGGCGTGCAGCACGGAAGGTCGCACCACGCAGAAGCAGTGTACCTCGCGCAGGCCCGCGCAGCGCGCTGCCAGCTCCTCCAGTGCGGCGTCCAGCTCTGCCGAGGCGGCGGCGCGCACCTCAAGCGCGCGCAAGGTTGCGGCGTAGTGGCGCGCCGCGAAGCGCACTGGGCCTACGGTGTCCCCAGAGAGGCTGAGGCGCAGCGCAGCCACGGGTACGGCTGGCTGCAGGACGCGCGTCACGCTCTCTGCAGGCAGCACCGGCTCTAGCTCCAGCTCTACCTCCAGTCCCGGGTGGCGGTGGCTCAACGCGGCCCAGGCTTCATCAGGCAGGGGGGGCGCGCGTGCGTCTTCCGGACACGCGCACCGCAGGGCGAGGAGCTCGAAAGGCGCGCGCTCTGGCGCCGCCAGTGCCTCGAGCGCGGTGCGCGACAGGCTGGCCAGGTGCAGGCCAAGGGCGCGCAGGAAGGGGCAGGCCTGTAGTAGCTCGAGCACGGAGCCCGGCCCCACGCTGCCCACCAGCGTTCTGTTATCCAGGAAAAGGCTGCGGAGCTCCGGACAACCGTGTGCCACCTGCAGCACCAGCGCGTCGTCTAGTGAGAAGGGCAGGCGCCGCAGGTCGAGGTGGCGCAGCGCGCGGGCCGCCCCACAGAGGGCGTGCACCGCGTCCAGGACGTCGCGGCCGGCGTCGAAGAGCGGCTTTTCTCCGCGGCACTCCAGGCACAGGCCTCGCAGCCCGGGGGTACGGCCCCTCAGTGCAGTCAGTAACTCCGTGGCCGCCCGGCGACTCGACTTCCTCGACGGCTCAAATTCCAGCCATAGATTCTGAATGTGGTCCAGGCAGGCGGACAGATACGGCGGCAGCATGCCTTCCAGCTCACAGTCGCAACTTGGGGGTAGAGTGGTAGAGAAAAGGCATCGGCCGGCCAAGTCCCTGCGACCTGGCGAGAGGTCTCTAACCCACCCCTCTCTCTGGGTTCCGGTTACCATCCCCACTTCTGCCCCCTGCCCACAAATCTCCCTGTTCCGCCCATGCCTGGTCGCTCCTACGTAAGCTAGGAGGGAGCCCTATCCCTTCCTTCAGATGCATCTGCCTCCAGTTGAAACCGTGCCAGAGAGAGGCAAGGTATTTTAGAAAATGGGCTTTCTCATGGGTCTTTCAGGAGGCGGGGCGGGGCCAGGCCTCTGGGCTGCCGCATTCACATTCCGCCTGTTACTTCTCAGTTGAGTGAGGAAGTAATTAAATCTCTCTGCCTCATTTTTTTTATCTGTGCGATGGAGATAATAAAGTCCATCACATAAAGTGTTTGTGAGAATTAGTAAGACTGGTATACCAACCATTAGAACAATGGTTGGTACACAGTAGGTGGCCAATGTTAGAAATGATGCTTTTTAATATGGGGAGGAGTCACAGCATCTCCCCAACCTCAGACTCTACCAAGACTGGGAGAAGGTGGGAGGGGGAAGAGACTGCTCACCTGATGCTCGTGTCGTGCCACACAGCGCTGCAGGTGGCAGCGGCAGCCCAAGCTCTGCAGACCCTCGCTGCAGCAGCGCGGTCGGGCAGGGGCAGGTGGCGGAAGATGAGCGCCAGCACCTCCTCCGGCAGCTGTTCTCCAGGCTCGGCCATGGCCAGGTGGGCCCCCTCCCCTGCAGGAAGGCCACAGTGTTGAGGGGAATACCTGGAGCCTATGTGTAGAAATGTTTGGGGCCCAGCATCCGCTATGTAAATTTGCAGAGCCCAGTGCAAAGTGAAAATGTGTGTCTCTCTGTTTAAAATATTATCGAGGATTTCAAGACCGTTGACAGCAGATCATTTAACCAAGCTATTAAACCAAGCCTGGGGCTCTGTACACAGATCTCAGACGCATGTGGTCTGACTGAGAGGCCGAGCATTTCTGATTCTTCCTTTAAACTACGTTCTCACTTGTTGAACAAATCCACATTTTATAATACTCTATTAGAAGGAACTCAACCACGATCCGTGCACCAGGTTGATAAAGCCAAAATACCCGGATTTGGGACGATGCTGTCAGATCTTTCTCCTAGTCACCAATGCCTTCTCTGAGGAAGTTGGAGGGCCACTGCCCAGGCCCTGACTCCAGACCACCACGTCTTCCCCAACCCCTCACCCCCGTCTCCCTCTACCGCACCATCACGGCGGCCAGAGAACCCGGACTAGTCTCACAGAGTCACTGAACTGCTTGCCTCCCAGCTTAGACCCTGAGTACTTAGGGAACGACGGAGCCCAAACACCAAGGGCCGTTGAAATGGCTTCTCAAAGGACGCTGGGCACCAGAATCACCCGGACTTTTGTTCACACTACAGATTTCATGGCCCTACCTACTAAATCAAGCTCTCCTCAAACAGTAGGGCACAGGAATATGAATTTCAACAAGCGCAGATGTATACCACAGGTCCCAAATTGAGAAAGCCGGTCCTAGCCCCACCCGTCACCAGAGAGTGACGGCAGAGTTAATAGGGCGGGAGCATTAAGGAAAACTTTTAATTGGCAGGGACCAGGAGCCAATCAGGAAGCAGAGGTGCGGGTGGGGCGTAGCTGAATCCGCAAGGAGAAGGGAGGCTCCTTCCTCCACTTCACTGGGGGAGACAATTTGGGTTCTTCCAATGAGAGGCCAGCGAGGCGGAGAAAATCTTAGGGTTGTGGGAGCCTGAGGGACCCTGGGTTCAAATTCCGATCCTGAACCCCGAGCAGCCCAGGCACCCGTTGGGCGGTTTAAGCTCAACTGGAATTCCGCAGACCCACATCAGAGCGCAGGCCTTTGTTGGAGATTGTGTCCTCTTTGAAGTTGCCAATTTTAGTTTAAGGTGCTTAAAGGTTTTCGTAGACAACGTTTGACGCCACTGGCCAGCTTTCTATTTTCCCATATTTTCTAGGCTAACGGTCCCTGCTGGAATTTGTGTCTCGAGTACCCGGGAGTTTCTGATACCCTCCTCCACGCTTGAACTTGGCACCCAGTTCAGAGTGTCAGGTAGAATCAGAGATCAGGGATCTTCGAGCTCGACCACCCAGAAGGGGACGTCCCCTCGTTGCTCCGTCCGTTACCCGCTGGAGGAAGAGGATCGGCTCTCACCCTGGGGCCCTCCGGCCTCGTAAGAACCTCAAGTCCTCGAAGTCCCTTGCCGCGGGCAGTTCCGCCGGCTGTTTGACCTCAGGCGCCAGTGTCTTACCTGCGCAGCGGATCGGGTGGGCTTTGCCCAGAGGCTGGGGATTGGCAGCAGAGGACGGTGGCGGGAAGGAACTGCGGGGAGCCCGGGGGGCGGGACGCCGGGACGGACGGGGCGGCTCGGACTGGGGCACCGCCCCTGCGCTCCGCGCACACCCGGAAGCAGCGCGAGTCCGGTGGAAGCCGGCGGGCGTGGGAATCCAGGCCGGGCCAAGGCGGCCAGGTTAGTGCAGGGGGTGGGTGGGCTTTCCGTTGCGGGCAGGAGCCAGGCGGATCCTGGCGCAGGAGCACGGGCGCGGTCCGGTTGTCACCCGCGGCTGCCGGGGCAGGTGGTGGTGGTCGTGGTGGTGGCCTATTGAGCTGTTTCCGTGGGAGGCCGGAGAGAGGGTACCGACGTTGGCCCCTGCCTTGTCCCAACTAGGGGCTTTCAAGGGGCGGCAGGGCCCTGTGGGTGAGAGGACGGGGTGGGGCTGGTTCTGAACAGACATTCGAGTAGAAACCCCTTGCCGGTAAGAGCCAGTAGCAGGCGCGAAACTCCAGCAGGAGGGTGGGCTAACGGGAGGCCGGGGAGCTCCTCTCTAGAGCTCGTGAGAGGCTTTGCTTGAGTAGATGCTGGAACTCGCAGCTTTTCAGGCCTTGAGAGGCCACGCCCGCAGGTCGTCACCGCCTAGCCGGCCAGAAGTGGGGCTACTCAGGACTGTTATTGTTCAGTCACTAAGTTGTGTCCGACTCTTTGCGACCCCGTGGACTGTAGCACGCCAGGCTTCCCTGTCCTTCACCATCTCTCAGAGTTTGCTCAGACTTATGTCCACTGAGTCAGTGATGCCATCGAACCATCTCATCCTCTGTCAGTGTTAATGGAGCGCTGCACCGGCTGGCTACCGATGGCAGGGGCATATTTTCCTGAGTCGGTACCCACGTGTCCCTTACGGTCTCAGCCCAGCTAAGGGTTCCCAGGACCCCGGCAGGCCCCGCTGATAAGAGAGGCGGACCCCAGGTGGGTGGGGCGCGGAGCTTCCCAAGGAGGGGCTTCTGTGAAGGGACACAGAGTTCCCAAGGGGGCTTAGTGAGCCAAGGCCCGCCCCTCATCCCACCCCACCCCTGCCACTTCTCAACCGTTACCAGGCTGTTTGCCTTCTCCCGTTCCAGTCCTAGACAGTATGACAGAGATTCCCCCCTCCTCTTGGTTTGCAGTGTCCTGCAGGCAGGCCAGCTGGGTAGAGGACTGTCTGGTCCTGCCCTTACTTACCCACCCTATGGGGTCAGCACCCTCCAGTCAGGGGTCTAGGAAGATGGCAAAGGGGAAATGTTTTGGGGCCAGGTTCCCACTTCTCCACTCTGGGCCAATACCCCAGGGCTTCCCACTTGTCTCCCTACTGCTCTTGGTCCCAGTTGTCATCCACCTCGTTTTTGTTTTGTTTTGCTTTTTAAGAAAAACAAATATGCCTTTTTCATACAAAATAAATCTCTATTTCACATAAAGCATAATATTTAAATAAAATGAAAATAAACATCACCCCAATATCCCCCTTCCCCAAGAGAAATAAACAGTACTAATTTCTTGTTAATTTCTATTGTTTTTGGATAAACACACAAGTATTAGTAAGTTTTCTTACTAATTATGGGAGGAGCTGGTCAAAAGGTATGTTCCCTGTGCTCAAACTCAGGGTAGGGTTATCAGGTATCATTCTTCCTACCAGGTCTGGGTGAAGGTGGAGGATGCCATTTCTCTTTGCCTTTATTATTACTATTTTTTAAATTTGCCAGCTGCACTGCACAGCTTGAGGGATCTTAGTTCCCTGACCAGGGATTGAGCCCAGGCCCCTGGCAGTGAAAGCACCCCCAAGGAATTCCCTTGAACCCATTTTTCTTAAAAAAGGGTATAATGTTGCCTCGGGTAAGGGGTGAAGGAAGAGGCAGGGCAGGTCTCCACCTGTTGCTCATGGTGCTGTAGCTGGGAGGCCACTGACAGGCCACTGCCATGGCTGACTGAGAATTTTGCTCCTTGATCTAGAGCTAGGATTTTGTCGAAGATAGATTAGAGGAGATGCTAATGCCAAGGGCCCTGACTGTGTTTGGACAGAGAAGGAGCCTGTAACAGAGCAACTTGAATGGCGTCAGACAACAGACTATCTCCAAGAACTTGAGACTAAAAAGGAAGGATCTAGTTCACATAACAGAAAAGTCCGAGAGGCAGCTAGAGCCGGGGACTCGGTGTGGTTGGAGGTGCACTTCTTCATCTCTTGGCCCTGCAGCTTTCTGTGCCAGTTTCATTCTTGGTCAGGCTGAGAATAGCAAAGGAGACCTACCCTTCCTTCTAGCTCAGCTTCAACATAGGAAAGGGAAGCTTGTTCCTCTTTCCTGTTGCTTTAGTTGCTAAGTTGTGTCTGCCTCTTTTGAGTCCATAGACTGTAGCCACCAGGCTCCTCTGTCCATGGAATTCTCCAGGCATGAATACTGGAGTGGGTTGCCATTTCCTTCTCCACATCTTCCCGACTCAGGGATTGAACCCAGGTCTCCTGCATTGAAGGCAGACTCTTTACTGACTGAGCCAACAGGGAAGCCCAAATTGCAGGTTGATTCCGATAGGTCCAGTATGAATCCTGTGCCCAACTCAGAACAAACCATTTCAGGAAGGTGAATGGAAGATGCAGATTGGTTAGGCTGGACGTCAGGAGTGAGATTAGCCCTTCCAACAGGCCTGTGGATTGAGTAAAGGGAAGAGGGAAGTCCCCAGAGATCAGTCAGGACTCGGGGAGAGAATCTGGGCAGGCGCAAACTACAGGTGTCCTTTAAAGTGAAGCCAGGAGGTACAGCAGGAAGGCCAGCGAAGAAACCTAGGTTGGGGGGGAGCTGTGGAACCCCTGCAGGGATCCTCAAATTTGAACTGAGGGCATACCAGGACATGAGTCTGGTTGTGCTGTGGGGCGTGGGCACCATCCAGGAGGGTGTCTCCAGTCAGCTTTGAAAAGAGAGACACCCTCCCCTGAGGAGGGGGCAGAACTTTGCTTTTACTGCAACACTGTCCCTCTCCTCACCCCTGTGACCTTGGGCTCTTTCTCAGAGAAGGCAGTGGAGGTACAGTCCTGACTACAACTCTTAGCTGAGCTGGGGCCAGAAGCACAAGAAGCTGCCGAGGGGATTATGAACTTACCTTCACAAGCGTGCCAGCTGAGTGGGGACAGCTGGGTGACGTGGGACTGGACAGCTGTCTCCAGGGCTGGGCCAGGGGTGATCTGAATGCCTATCTCTCCTTGCCCAGGAGGCAAGATGGCGGCTGGGCCAAATGGGCTTGAGGAGTGGGTGGGCAGCGCGTACCTGTTTGTGGAGTCCTCGCTGGACAAAGTGGTCTTGTCCGATGCCTACGCTCACCAGCAGCAGAAAGTGGCAATGTATAGGGCTCTCCGGACTGCCCTGGCAGGTGTGTGGCTGGGCAGGCACTTGGGGAAGAAAGGGGGGCCTGGGGCCTTTTGTGGGCGGGGCCAGAGACTAAGACCCCCACCTCTTCAACTCTGTGGGCTTGTGTTTAATCACCGCTTTGAAGAAAAGATTCCTTGGGGATGACAGGAGAAGGATGCCTGGTTATGTAGGGTCTTTCTTCTCTGGCACGCATAAGTGCCCTTGGGTATAGACTTGTGTCTCTGTGTCTGTGTATAGTCTACCTATGTGTGCACTAATATCCCCTACTCCATGCCCCCCCCCACTCCCCAGATCAGGCTGCTTGCTCACTGCTTTCTAATTTTACCACTCTCTCTCTTCTTTTCCTCTCTCACTGCAGCACTCCTTGCCCAAGATCCTTCCCCAGTACCTCCCTTTCCAGCCTACTTTTCCCATCTCAGGGTTGAGGCCACAGGAGGTTGAAGCTGGTTGGGGGATCTGGCCCCAGCCTCAGACCAGCGAGAGCCCCTCTCCTTGGGAGGAGGGCAGCAGTACTAGGAGGCGGAAGACCTGAAACCCGCCTACTGCATGGCCAGCTGCCTACCCAGAGGTCTTGGCTGCCCAGGGCAAACGCCCCTTTCTACGCTGCAGTCTCTTCCACGTCCCTTTTGCCCACCCTCATTTGAGGCTTCAGGGATGCGGCAAGAGTGGCACCCACTCCGTCTCAGAGTGATCCCTGTGATAGGTCCTGGCCTTTATTCTGGGTTGTTGCTGTTTACCTCCCCATTCTGCTTCCCAGCCAGGAGCTCTGGGGTATACCACGCCCCTAGGTGTCTGGGGGTGGGGAAGGCATCTCATCTCGGCCTTCATTCCTTCTCCGGCCTCATGGAGCATGGCCCCGCATGGGGACTGCATGGCGCCTGACTGCCCGCCTCCGCAGAGAGTGGCGGGAGCCCCGACCTGCTGCAGATGCTCAAGATCCACCGCAGCGACCCGCAGCTGATCGTGCAACTGCGTTTCAGCGGGCGCCAGACGTGCGGCCGCTTCCTCCGCGCCTACCGCGAGGGGGCGCTGCGAGCCACGCTGCAAGGGTGCCTGGCTCGGGCACTGGCCCTGAACGCGGTGCCGCTGCAACTGGAGCTGCGTGCTGGCGCCGAGCAGCTGGATGCCGTGTTGACCGACGAGGAGCGCTGTTTGAACTGCATATGCGCGCAGAAGGTGCGGCCGGGCTGGGGCCAGGGTCGGGTGGGGTGGGAATTCGCTAAGGAGACCTCCACCGACGCCACACTCTCCTCTCTAGCCTGACCGGCTCCGGGATGAGGAACTCACCGAGTTGGAGGATGCGCTCAGGAATCTGACGTGCGGCTCGGCAGCGGGCCAAGGGGGCGACGTGCAAGGCACTCCAGCCCCCTCGCAGTCTCTGGCACCTTCTCCGCCAGAGGAGAAACCGCCACCCCCGCCGCCTGGCCAGACTTTTTTCTTCCAGGGTCAGGTCATAGGTGAGACTCCCAGAGAAAGGGAAAGGCAGGATCCTCAGGAGGATGAAGCTTGGGGAGGGGCGAGGTCTGGGCGGGGTAGTCACGGCGGGAATGGAAGGGTATCCCAAGCTCACTCCCTCCCCACTCTCTCTGCAGTGAACCGGCCGTTGAACCTGCAGGATCAACAGAAGTTCGCCCGCTCCGTGGGCCTCAAGTGGCGTAAGGTGGGGCGCTCTCTGCAGCGCAGCTGCCGCGCGCTGCGGGACCCGGCGCTGGACTCACTGGCCTATGAATACGAGCGCGAAGGGCTGTACGAGCAGGCCTTCCAGCTGCTGCGGCGCTTCGTGCAGGCCGAGGGCCGCCGCGCCACGCTGCAGCGCCTGGTGGAGGCGCTCGAGGAGAACGAGCTCACCAGCCTGGCGGAGGACTTGCTGGGCCTGGCGAACCCTGACGGCGGCCTGGCCTAGGCAGAGTACCAGAGAAAGGGGAGGTCAGTCAGTTGCCCAGCCAGGGTTTGGAGCATCTGGATGACTGTAGGGTCCCTCCTGCTGCTACTGCTGACCTCTTGTCCACCACGCAACTCTGAGACCACACTTAGCAACCCCACTTAGCTGAGTTGCTGGAGCTGCTGCGCAGAGATGATGGCGGCCCTCTCCAGGAGTCAGACAAGCACCCACCGTGTCTGCTGGGGTGCTAATGGGCAGTTGTGTTCTAGATACTAGGACAGAGACAGAGTGAATGGGTGTCTGTCCTAGTATCTAGAACAGACCTGCTGCAAGGTCTGCTTCACCTTCTCCCACCCTAGAAGGGTTTCAGCCAGACTTTACCTCTTCATTCATTATTATTCATTAAGGACCTGCTGTATCCTAGGCATCATCCTGGGTGCTGCAAATACTGTGGTGAACAAAACACACGAATCTTGTCTGTAGTCAGTTCACGATCAGTGTGGGACTCTGAATATAAAGTAATAAAATACTACTCATTTTTTGGATGTGAAAAATACAAGGCATTGTGGGAACAAATGAGCAGGGGCCTAACCCAGGTTAGGGGTTAGGCTTCCTTGGGGAGAGATGAGTGTGAATATTGGAGCTGGGGAGGGGTGGAATGAGAGAAGGGCAGTATTCTGGACATGGCCAGCCTCAGGTGAAGTCTTGAGGAAGGTGGGAGGGAGGGATGTTAGAACAGAAGGTTTACAGTGGCTGGATCTAGGAGTGGGTGGATTTGCAGAGACCCACTGGAGAGTCGGGGAGGCAGAGAGTATGGGGTCTGGGGAACCATTTTACAAGAGTTTGGATTTCATCCGGAGGCGAGTGAGAGGCCTTTAAGGGGGTTTGACAGTTCAGGCTGGGAGTGAGGATTCAGAGGGAGAGAGAGTACAGTCCCCAGGCTGAGGCAGTTGGCAGTAGAGATGGAGGAAAACGATGAACACCGAGAGCTGTTTAGGACAAAGGACAACAGGCCTGGTGACACTAAAAGAGGAGAGAGCGGGGAGAGGACTCCAGAGTTTCTGATTTTGCCAGTTAGATGGGAGGAGGGATCTGCCTGCTGAGATAGGGGCCCTGGGGAAAGTGAAGCACTTGCTCTCTTTGGGACTAGCTGGGTGTGATGTTCCTGTCGAACACCCAGAGTTCAAGGATGGCTAGAGCTGTAGTTTTGAGTTCAGGAGAGGGTCAAGGCTAAGGACTCCAAAACGTACAGGTGGGTGTGGGTGGGACAGCCCAGGGGGAGGTCCTGAAGGACGCCAACTGGAAAAAAGAACAACCCAAAGAGGAAGGAGGAAAACCAGATTTGGAAGCCAGAGGAATGGCTCTCCCTGCTGTGATGGAGGCTGAGAATTTGTGAAGGCCGAGGAGTGTCCACTGGAGTCAGGGAAAAGGTTACTAGGTGGAGGCTGTGTCTGGGACATAGTGGGGACAGCCTGATACCAGACCACGGGAGGGATGGGATGGAAGCAGTAGAGAAAGCCACAGATAGGAGAGGACTCCTGAAAAGTCTGTGAGCAGGAGAGTGAGGCCCAGGATGGAGGGTTTATTTTGGAAGGAGAACATTGGTGAGAAGAAGTCAGAAGGAGCAGTCATAGCCACGGAGAAGGAGGATGGCGCTGGGTAGCAGTGCTGGTTCCCTAGTCTGCCCTCAGAAACTCCGGGGTGGGGGGATGCGGTGGGGTTGTCTACTCCAGGCCCCACTGCATGGGCTGGGACCTGGAGGCTCTGAGTTCCAGGGAGAGAGAGGTGGCAGCATAACTGGGCAAGGCCTGGCCTCTCAGTCTTCACCTCTCTGCCCCACTGGGTTCCCATCAAACCATTTGCACACTGACCTACTTCGGGAGTTCCCCAAGCTGAACCAATCCCTGCCAGCCTGTCTGGCCTGCAGTGGGCCCAGGCATGGTGATTTCCTCCTGCAGTAGGCCATGCTGGCCTGGGCCACTAGGGACTAGAGGACTCAGAACTGCCTCTGCGAAGAAAGATTGAAGTGCTTATCTGTGAAGTTATAGCAGACAGGGTTGGCCCCCTCTCCTGTATCCCTGTGGATGGGTAGGCAGAGGGGCAAGGGAGACAGAGGAAAGAGTCCTGGATGGAATTCCAGAAGTCCTGGGCAGTGCTCTTACCTTCTGTCTGTTTGATCCTGGGCGAGTCACCTGACTCCCTGAGAAGGAATATCCTCATCTGGGCATGGCCCATGACAGCTGCTGCCAGGGCTGTGAGAACTCAGCAAGCAGTCCTCTTGGTCCTTGTGTGTGTGCTGTGTCTGCTGGTGGGCCTGTCAGAACCAGGAGAAAGGTGGCTCCGCGTACTTGGGGAACCAGGGCTTCTGGTATGCATAAAAGAGGCACTTCCAAGGATGGCCTGGGAGGGGCCGGGGGATGCCAAGCCCGCCTGCGCTGGGGCTCCCTTCCGGCTCCCTTCTGGCTCCGGAGAGGCAAGGGTGGGAAACTAACCAAAAAGGCTAGTGCTTCTTCCTGTCCCCTGGAAAGGCAGAATTGGGGAGTTCAAGTCAGAACGAAGACCAGAACTCACCTCTCTGAGCCTTCCGGAGAGAGAGCTGACCGTGAGGATCCCTTTCAGAGATTAGTCTCCACTTGGAGACAGCGTTCCCGCGGCGCCAGGGCGGAGCTGAGCTCCAGATGTCCGGGCGCACACAGCTGTAGGGTCACGTGGCAGCGGCCCTGGTCCCCCTTCCTGCCAACGTTGCATTTGGCCCAGGCCCCGTCCATGGCCGCCCTTGGGACCCTGCGCTGAGCCCCGGAGGCCCTGGCATCCGGGGCCGCGCCACTCCCAAGGGCCGAAGGTGTGTCAGGATCCCAAGGACCGCCGTGGTGGGTAGGGATGGGTGGAAGGGATTCGGCCTCAGCGCGGGAAGGGGGTGGGGCCGAGGTTCCGCGTCTCTCGTCCCCGGCTCTGGGGCACCGTCCTGGGCAGGAGCTGAGAGGGTGGCAGCCGGCTAACAGGAGGAACCTCTTGTCTTTTCAGGGTGTCCATCCCAGTGGGGGGAGTTAGGGTCCAAAATAGAAGGACCCTGGAGGGGGGTGAACGACCAGTAGCCGGAGACCCCTGGCCTGTGGCCTCCCGCGGCCTCCCCTCCGGGAGCCCCGGGCGGGAGCCCCCGCCGGCTGTTAGCTTCCACGTCGCGAGCCCCTGACTGAGTCTCTCCGCAGGAGGCGCGAGCGCCGGCCAGGCTGACATGAGGCGGAGGCTGCGCCTACGCCGAGAAGCGTTGCTCACGCTGCTCCTCGGCGCCACCCTCGGCCTCCTGCTCTACGCGCAGCACGAAAGCACGGCCCCGACGACGAGCTCGCCGCGAGCACAAGGGAGGGCGGCGCCGGGGCCCACTCCAGGGCTCCGTGTATTTCAGGCCCCGGACACGGGTGCAGCCCCTCCGGCCTACGAAGGGGATACGCCAGAGCCGCCCACGCCCACGGGACCCTTTGACTTCCGCCGCTATCTGCGCGCCAAGGACCAGCGGCGCTTCCCTCTCCTCATTAATCAGCCGCACAAGTGCCAAGGAAATGACGCGTTCCCCCGCGGACCCGACCTGCTCATCGCCGTCAAGTCCGTGGCGGCGGACTTCGAGCGGCGCCAGGCCGTGCGCCAGACGTGGGGTGCTGAGGGGCGCGTGCAGGGGGCGCTAGTGCGCAGGGTATTCTTGCTGGGCATACCCAGGGGCACAGGCACAGTTGGGGGTGAGGCGGAGGCGGGCACTCAAACGCACTGGAGCGCCCTGCTGCGTGCCGAGAGCCGCGCGTACGCGGACATCCTGCTCTGGGCCTTCGACGACACTTTCTTCAACCTAACGCTCAAGGAGATCCACTTTCTGGCCTGGGCTTCCGCCTACTGCTCCGATGTGCGCTTCGTTTTTAAAGGCGACGCCGACGTGTTCGTGCACGTGGGAAACCTGCTGGAGTTCCTGGCGCCAAGGGATCCGGCGCAGGACCTGCTTGCAGGTGACGTGATCGTGCAGGCGCGGCCAATCCGCGTGCGGGCCAGCAAGTACTACATCCCCGAGGCTGTGTACGGCCTGCCAGCCTACCCGGCCTACGCAGGCGGCGGCGGCTTCGTGCTCTCGGGGGCCACACTGCGCCGCCTGGCCGGTGCCTGCGCGCAGGTTGAGCTTTTCCCCATCGACGACGTCTTTCTGGGCATGTGTCTACAGCGCCTGCGCCTCACGCCTGAGCCTCATCCTGCTTTCCGCACTTTTGGCATCCCTCGACCTTCAGCCGCACCGCACCTCCACACCTTCGATCCCTGTTTTTACCGTGAGCTGGTTGTAGTGCACGGGCTCTCGGCTGCTGACATCTGGCTTATGTGGCACCTGCTACACGGGCCGAACGGGCCAGCCTGTGCGCGTCCATGGCCTGTTCCTGCTGGCCCTTTCCAGTGGGGCCCCTAGCCTCCTGTCACAGCTCTAAGCCCCCCTCATTCAGACCCAGGATATAAGTGGGAAGTAGCTTGAAAGGTAGATTTCCCAGGCGGGTTAAGTGCTGTGTATGTGTTTCTTCCCCAGAAAGGGGTATCCAGGTGTCTGCCTTCAGAAGGCCCAGGGAATGAAGACTGAGCTTGGCTCCTGCTGACCCTCTCTACTGGGCGGTGATCTGGAACCAATCTAATGGTGGCACAGATAGCCAGGGCTGAGGTGGTGGAGAACCAGGCTCTTTGCCAAGCAGGTGAACATGCTTGGTCCTCCTAGCAGGGATGTGTGAGTGTAAGTATGGGGGGAGGGGTGGCGGCAGAGACTCATGCTGTCTGACCATGCTCCTTAGTTTAGAACCCCTAGAGTCATGCCAACAAATGCAGGTCTTTCTCAAGTCTGGACCCCACAGGGAGGGGTAAGGGCCTGGCCTTAGTCCTCATGGAACTGGCAGCCATTCTGCCACAACTCAATCTGAAAGTAGGTGTTTTGCATCCTATCTGCCCCTCCAGTTTGCAAATTGGAGTCTTAGCTCTGCCTAGGTCTTTAGATCTGCTTTCCTGGCCCAGCTCCCCCTGAGCCCTGGAGTAGGGGGAACACCTGGGATGGAGGCACACAGGGACTCGGCACACCGTCCTACCTGAGGTCTCCCCCCACCTCCAGCTACCCCCGGGAGAGCCTGCACCCATGCAGCTGTGCACCTGTGCAACCCACTGGAGTCTGTGCTGCCCCCTTCGGAGGAGCCAAGGAACCTCTTCTAAGATGATGCCAGCTCGAAAATTCCCCATCTTCTTCAACCACCCCCTTTCTCAAAAACAAACAAACAAAAAACACACCAATGCCTCCAGGCTTATTTTAGTACAAACATCCCAGCAACAGCACATGGGGAGCTGTTGCTGAGGGCATGTCTTTATTGGAGGAGGGGTAGGGTAGGGCATGAGGAAGATTCCCCCATTCTAGGAGGATGGGGAGAGTCCTGGCTGCCCCACAGTGGGATGTGTGGGGGTCTCTGGCCAGGCCACTGTCCACACAGGAAGACACCAATCAGTCACGAAGTCATGGGAACGTCACACAGGAGCCCGGGGCTGGTCCCCCGCACATTCATTGTTAAACTATACAGGATGAGGCTGTACATCAATTAATTACAAAAGAGTCGTATTTACAAAAATCTGTACACACATTTGAAAAACCTCACAAAATTGTCATCTATGTATCACAAGTTGCTAGACCAAAATATTAAAAATGGGATAAAATTATACATTTCTCTTCTCAATTCTTTTCAAAAGGATTAATATTTTTAAAGCACATATGCTTCTTTCCTTAGCAAGTCCCACAAAGAGGGAGCAGCCCAGCCCTCCACGAGTCCCAGAGGCCTTGAGCCGTGTGAAAGGGCCCGGCCAGGGGACACTGCCCAGAGTCAGGGCAGGAGAGCCAAGCCCACAGTGCAGAACAGAATGCTGAAACACACAAAAAAGGAGGAAGATGTCTTTGGCTAAAACTTTGGCATTAAATAAAAGAGGCAAACAGAATGGAAACATGCAGCCCCACCAGCCACGTTGGGGCAGAGCAGGGGGTCAGGCGACCTTGAAGGCTTGCTCCAAGATGGGTGGAGTCAGGCCTGGGCACGTACCTTGATGGTAGAAAGTTGTGTTTCAACCACTTGGGTGTGCCTACTGGGTCTGGCAGGGAGCACATGCAAGAAAGAAACAGGGAAGGGCAGGTGGGCCACCTTGGCCACAGCCAGCTCATCAAGTAACTAAAGTGGATGTAGTGCAAAAGTCGCAACCAAGTACAATGGACATGCTACCTGCTTGCCTTAAAGGTCACGTGGCAATGTTGGGCCAAAGGCAGGACCGTGTCCTTGTCTGGGTGCCTGTGTTCTCAGCTATAGAAAAGTCCCAAGTTTTCCCAATGTGTGGGACAGGGAGACAGAACCCTGTCCCCTCACATGTTAGTTGAGAGCTCCCGGCTCTAGGTATCAAGGCTCAGAGTTGTGCTTCTCTTTGCAGTCTGTGTCCCCTGTTGGCACCAGCAGGCTGAGAATGGACTGAGGAATATCTGGGCCTCTCACCCCATGGCAGATTGCCCAGCCTGAGCCCCACCTCAAAATACCACAACAGCCCTTCCACACTGGCAAGATGTCCAAGAAAACCCACTGAACAGGATGCAATGCACAGTTCCACAGGGCAGAGGGGCAAGGGTCATGACGTTCCTAGGGGAGCTCCACAGTTCTCAGGTGGGCACCAGGTCTGGGGGGGCCATAGAGGGTCACCGAGGCAATGTGGTTGTTTTGCATGACCTGGCGTAAGAAGAGGACAGTGAGTTGATGGGGAGGAGTCGAAGGGATGTAAGCACAGCAAAACTCCCACAAAACCCCCAGTGGGATCAGTCCTGGGCTGTGACAGAAGAGAAGGCACTTGAGGCAGCGCCTGTGTGTGCAACACACTTGCACATGGGGCTGGAATGACCCCTCAACATCCCCCAGCTCGTGCTAGGTGTCATCTCTGCCTGTGTCTACCTGTTCCTCCAGGACACATAAACTTTACCATACCCATCTGTCCAGCCCTTCTGGAACTGCTAAGAGTCTGCTAAAGGTATGGCAACCAGATGGGAAAGCAGGGGCAGCCCATTCTTCTCCCAGCCAGTGGGGCCTCAAGAGCCACTCGGCCCACCGCACATTCATTCATGTGGCATTTAAAGACCATCTCCCAACGCCCCCGGACACAGCCCCACTTTCCCTGCAGTTCCCTTTGCTATTGTGCTCATGTTTTCAAGTATAAATGTGGGCTCCCCATTTCCCCTCATCTTGTTGGATGAGCCTGCCCTGTAGGGCCTTCAGGCCCTCCCCAATCTCTTCCCCATCACTTGCCTGTCCTTGCCATGATCACCAGCCACTCAACCCCCAGGGCTTACCTCAAAGATCATCCGCTGAAGACCAAAGCAGAACGTGGAGCCAAAAGGGTTGGTGTTGTTTGGGGACGAGGACCTGAGGCCGGGGAAGCCAGAATTAGAGGGGCAGACAAGAGACCTAGGCCAGGTGGGGCATTCAGTTCCTTCTGGGGTAGGGGCTGTTAGCCAGTCCTCAGGGCTCTGAGTGTGTGTCCCACATGGGCTCTTGAGGGCCAAGGCACAGTGATGGATCTCACTTGGGCACCAAATCCTGTGCAGCCGCGCTGGCACAGAAGGGTATTATGCAGCTGGACTGGGGTGTACAGTCAGCAGGGAGATGGAGCCTCAGACAGGAGGGCAACCAGGTGCTGGGCTGTGAGCCAAAGCAGGCAGCAGGTGTGATGTGGACAGCCAGCCAAACTGCCTCCCTCTCTGAGTAACTGGAGGTGAAAGGTCCCTATACCTGGAGGGGGGAGCTATCCCAGGGGCAGCCCCTCCAGTTCCAAGTAAATGTGCAGAACTGTTGGCCGAGTTGTAACTCACAAGGCTTGGGCAGGAAGCGTGTGGCAACATCAGAAATTCCTGCTGGTTTTAAGCCATACCCACCGCTAGGGTTCCCAGTCCTTCTGGGCGGTGAGGAGCTGGGTGCGGCGATCAGAAAGCAACCCCCCACTCACCTGTGCAGGACCACAGGCTTCTCCACAGGGTGTCCCAGGAGCTCCTGGATGTTATCCCACTACAAGAGGGATAAGGGTGACAGGGGATTAGCAGGGACCCGACCCCACTGTGACCAAAGGCTGGCCCAAAGGATGCAGGCACCAGACTGCTGGTAGGCTTGTGGCCTCCCCATATTCAGGCTGTGTCAGGTGGGAAAAACAGGAGCTCACCTTGCTGTAGGTTGTGCATGTTTCTGTCTGACCCTCTGTGTTTTCTGAAAAGAGAACACAGCATGGTTGGTAGCGGGCCTGGCCTGGATTCAGTTCCACATCTGCTCAAGTAGATGGCTCAGCCCACCTGAGACCCCAGCCCTCACCGCCCTATACACTAGGATTCAAGTTTGGAAACCGCCAATCCCACAGGCACAGGATAAGACCTTAAGGGCTTCCAGGAGACTACGGACCAAGAACCACGTGGCTCCCAGAACCAAGAGCCCAACCCAGAGGAGCTGAGGCTCTGGGCAGAAGCAGGTGGGCAAAGAGTCCACACATCCAACCACTGCCACCCTCTCTGCTTGGATCATCATCTCTTCGATGCATGGGAGACTGACTCTAAAACCCTTTCCTTACCCTGAGGACACTGACCACTCACCTCTCTTTACGGTTAGGGGGATCTTGAACTCACAGCGGTGATAACTAGAGAGAGAAGGGAGATGGGTAAAGGTGGGACCCGTTGGGAGACCTGACCACCCCCACATCTCAACTCCGCACCCCAGGAAAAACAAGATCAAGCACACCTGCTCAAAGCCTTGGACAGGCCAGATTTGGGCCCTAGAGTCAAACCAGAAAGGGCACAGCCAGGGGGCTCTGAAGACCCTGTCACCTCGGATAAGAGGCCAAGCTTTCTGAATCCATTTCTCTATTTGTAAAATGGGTATAAATGGAGAGATAAAAGGTAATGGACACTATACCAGGAACAGAAAACACTCAGGAAATCGTTTACTTTTCATGAATTAGCAAACATCCAAGGCCACAAGCTCTCTTTCCTGGAGGGGTAGGTGCGGGTATACTCACATATTAAAATTATAATGTCCAGGGTAATTGGTATGTAGGACAAACTTCTTCACTTTGTGTGTATTCGCATCAAAGAGAATGTCCTGGGATAGAAAACAAGGGTGCTCAAGTGGGTAAAGTTACTGAGGCGGGCAGGGGGCTTTCGAGGGCATGTCCTACTCAAAGACACCCACTACACAATGGGGATGCCCTTGGGGAACAGCTCTGACCCAAACAACAACCAAGGGGACAGGTGAGGCCTAGCATGATGGGACGACACACACATTCCAACCATCTCAGGCCTCCTCATTCCAAACCTTGTACCAGTAGGCCCCACAGGGACACAGGGCTACCGCTCCCGCTGTTTGGGAACTCAAACATGGTCAGAGAGATCTTCCCTGACAAAAAGCACCAGATTAAAAAATGTAACTGAGCACAGATTTTGCCTTAAAAGCTAATGAGAAGATTCAGGACCCCCTTGACCATCAAGGGGCTCAAGGCACCTGGTTGTTCTGAAAGCCAGGACCAGCCAGATCCTTCTGGCTTCCAGAGGCCAGCACAGTTAAAGCTGCAAGTGTACACACAGGTCTGCCCAGCACACTGCACACTCCCAGGGAAATCAAACACTTCTCTAAGGAATCACAGCTTACCACTCCGAGAGTGAAGTAGTTAAAAAAGTAGTCATTGCACTTGGATGGAACTTGCTTATGAGGGGAAGGAGAATGAATCTTCATCTGTTGGGGAAAAAATAACAGTGAATTAAAATCCAATCCATTAATATAGGTCTTGGATGAAATGAGTCTACGAGTTGTGTTTCTTGTGTGACAGTTATCTGTTGGGTAAGCAAGAGTGTGGGAGTCCCCGACGCTGGTGCTAAAACAACCCAGACAGCTTTGGTTGACTACAGACTGGGCCCTGGTCTCCAAGGAAAGGCAGGACAATCTGACCAACAAGGGTCAGAAGAGAGCTTTCAATTTACTTCTCCATCAGTTTTTTACTTTTTTTCCATTAGCTTTAATAGAACAGGTTCTCTGGGAAAACAGCAGTTTATATTTATTCACTATTAAGTTCAAGTTGATTAAATAAAAAGAGAGAGATTGCCTATTCACTTTATAAACACATTTCCCCTACCTTATCTTCTGACTTGTAGAAGACCTTGTGTGGAGAGCCAAGCATGCTAAGAACATCCTGACAAGAATCACCAAAATACACTGAGCGTTCAAATACCCGCATCTTGGCATCTGCTAGCAGGCCAGGTCCACAACCTGC